CGGCATTTTCGCGGGCGGGACAGGGAGCCATTCATTCTACAGGCCGTAATTTCTTTTACCTGTATTGTATATATGTGTGTGTGTGTGTGTGTGTAGACACACACACAAACCACATACAAATAAATAATAATTGGAAAATCCTCTCACAAATAATCAGAAAAAATTTATAAAAAATGTGAGTCTACCCTCAAGTTCGTACTCTATTACAGTACACCCACCTCTTGTTTTACACGGGGGATACGCTCTTGAAAACCACGGCTTAATTAACAAATGCGTAAATTAAACATAATTTTCCCATAAGAATACATGTAAATCGTACAAGTTAGGGGAACCATCATATACCGTACTGTACAGGGTACAAACAGTGCTCTCACTTAAACCAAGCATGCGACCAACCTCCGACACACACTATCCTCTCTGAAGGAGGGTGATCTCATTTAATTTCACATCCATTGCGATTGTTTTTCGTGCCCTTTTAGCTTTAGGCACCCCAGAGGAGGCAGATGGAAGTTTTCCAGCCATGCTCAATGGGGAAAACGGCATTTTAACACTAAAAAGGTACGTGATAAACACACAATGCAAATGGGAGCACAGAGAAAAAGTAGTGCTGGTGTGAACTGAGAAAGCAATACGCCGGAAGCTTGGTGGACCTCGTCATAGTTGTTGAACAGAATACTCCATTGTCATCATTATCTTCATCATTAGTACAGTAGTAATAATCTTTATTATTACATTACCGGGTATTATAATAATTAATAATAATAATACTAAAATCATTTATGTTGATGACTGACTTCATAGTAATAACTTACAAGCACCTCACCAAGCATCACACACAACTCCACTGCCAGGTGACCAGGCAAATACACGTGGCAAATTTAAGTTGTCAAGCACGTTATTTAAAAAAAGGTGCGCGTAAATTAGCTTTTGGTATTAATTGAACAATCGCATTATTCCAAAAATGCTTAAATCAAACGCGAGTTAACTGTACTGTACTTATTAATAGAGCACGGACTTGAGGGTAAACTGTCCCATTTTAATAATTTTTTTCTGATTATTTGTGAGAGGATTTTCCAATTATTAGTTCTTTGAAGGTGTTTTGTGTTTGTGTCTATATACACACACACACACACACACACACACACACATACATACAATACTACAGGTAATAGAAATAACTGTCCTAAGGGCAAACACAGAAAAGGAATATACATTTCTTTGTACTCTAGTAAAAATGCCCCCCCCCCCCAAATGTTATTCGCGGGCATTTTAAGAACCTAACCCTCGCAAATTTGGGGGGCCCCCTGTACTAACAAAACTGTTTTTATAAACCACCTGAAGTTTATTATATTACTGGGTGTAAAGACATTTGTAGTATAGTACAGGGTTTTTTAAAAAATTAAATTTTCAACATAAAAGTAGTGATATGGCACTGAATAGGCAAGAAGCTTCCATCCTATATGTATTGAAAATTTACTAAATGACTTCTCAAAATATGGATACAAGCACACAGTTCTTAAGCTGTCCTGTATAACCTACACATCACAGCCACTGATACAATGTTAAGGTACTGACTGGAAGAAGAGCAGTAAATATTTTGTTACTTCGCTCTTTAACAGTTAATCCTTTTACAAATTTTATGTACCTGTGACATCCAGAAATTTCATTAAACAATATGATGACTTCCTTTGGTGCAACTTTTACTTAGTTCAAAGCTCTAACCTTGGTACAGTAGTTGCAGAGGCACTGTGGCTATATACCTCACCTACTCCATATCCCCAGCCAATCACACACACACACACATTTTAGAATGCAGTTGCCCAGGTTTTGTCACTGTGATCATATGATGGTCACTTTGATTTTCTGTGGATTTTTAAGGTGCAATGACAGCAGTGACGAGGAATGTGTGTCCAACAGATGTAACCTTAACAACCATTCAAATAATATCTTGCTGAAATATGTTAAGAATGATCTCTATTGGCATTAAGGAGAAACAGCTTCAAGAATACAGACTAATTAGCATGAGTGCAAATATGCCCTTCCTTACAGAAAAAAATATGTAGTTACAATGATTTTACAGCATTTTAATTCAATAACGAAATTGCAGTTATGAAGCTGACAAGAAGAAATTTAAAAAACCATGCTTATGACAAAAAAATACTAAAAAAATATATTAATAAATACAAATTTAAAAGCCCATATAAAATATTCATAAAGAGTACAGTACTGTACTGAACTATACTTTATATATGAGGGAAAATAATTTATCAAATGCAACTACAGGTGTTAACACATTCTGAGTAAAGTGCTATGTATCCTGTTAGAATATTTAGGATCTGATTCTGAATGTGGCCAATACATTACTGTACACACAAGTCCTAGATGGAAACTGTCAGATTAAATGTCCATACAAGAAAGGCAACTCAGATTAATTATCATATTAGACATGGACCGTGTACAGTACAGGAATGTAACAGATAAAGAGTCAGGGCATCCTTGGTTAAGAAAAGTAACAAAATAATGTGGTGTTTGAAATGAAATAAAACTGTCAGCACTTGAATACAGGTAATAATTAATACTGTACAATAAATTAATGTTTTTTATATGATATGTGTGAGTTCCAGTTAGAAATGTTACCCATTCTAACACATGAAAAAATATGCTTTGAGGAGCACCATGCATATCATTTGGTAAATAATTCAGTACAGTACAATAAAAGCTCCTGGCTTGGTCCCAAAGACTTCTCTGTGAGACATTGTGTAACACTTCAGTATAACCTACTCCTATATAAATATTGACTGTAATGTCAATACTGTACTAACCATTTATAGAAAATACCTAGAAATGAATTACAATACAATAAAGTACTAAAAATACAGTACTTGTACTGTACAAATATCATTGTATTCATTGGTTCAATATTTAACACCAAAATTTTCATAGGTTTCTACATCAAAATTTCCCTTCAACTGGACGTCAAAATGTCATCCAAACCACACTGACACTCTCCCATAATTATATGTGCTTTGTTGTGCATTTTTAATGGAAGAAAGTTAGTGTATGAATTTCTGAGAATTCTTATGTTGGCCAACACTTTACATATGAAAATAATTAACTAATACTTTCCAACTTGTTATTCATTACATGAAGCTACTCTTCAGGTATAAAAAAATATTTCTGAGCAGTGAAAGTTTTGATAAAGGTTCAGATATCACAAATATAATCCATAGCAGCATACCATAAACAGTTACCCTAAAGTTTCACTAATTCATGCAATTACAATTCCAAAGCAAGACAGTAATACAGTATACTGTATATAAGATGTTACCAACTTGCATTCTTTTTTACCTTAACACTAGAAATATGTAGCTTACACACAACACTTCAGTAATGCTGAAAACTAAATGCATTATTCAGATTAAAATGAAAAATTAAATACATGTATTGTACTATGAGATATTTCTGAGCACTTAAGTGGATTTATTAGGCACCTTTCAGATATATTTCCTATAGTACAGCTTAGGACACAGCCATAATGACATACTTACAATATAATGTACAGCACACCAGAGGAGAGACAAGAGAGTTTAGTGATTACTGTATACCTTCTTTCTAACATAGATTGTTAGTGGAGATAGGGTGCATGTTTATTTCTTAACTGGAGATATTCAAAATTGGAACTTGGAGATCCACACATAACTTTTAAGTACCAAAAGTTACATCTCAGCTTTCATTGTTTAATACATTTCTGAGGAATGTTATTTCTCTAGTATAACATTTGTACTCCTTGAAACTTTTTCTAATCATCAAAAGCAAATGCTGACTCTCCATCCATACACTGCCATCTGTTCTCCTTGACTGTCCAGTAATTACATGTCCCACAGCAATGCTCCATGAACAAAAATCCTTTACATGTTCAAGACTTTAAAGAGCTTCAATTACTCTGAAATTTTCATCTATCCATAAAAGGGAGCTGTAATATTTCATGTATGGTAGATCTGATAACATTTTTAAACAGGAATAAAGAACTTTTGTTTGTAACATTACATTTTGTTGATTCCCGTTACTTCACATGAACCAGCATCACCTATCAACATTAAATGATCAATTTAATATTTTCAACATGGAAGTAGTTTCTATTTACCCATGACACAAGCAGTTTCCTGCTGATGCTAATAATGGAGGATGCAGAAATTATCAATTACTGTATATTGTTTACAATGAACAGTAATTTTCTTTCACTAATAATGAATGGACACCACAAAACTATCACATTAATGATATGATAAAACTGGCATACTGTATATCAAGTGTCAATGTTCAAGTAGTATGTGAGAGTACTGTAATGAGTATGAAAAAATAAAAGACTATTAACTCTTAATGTCATACACTTATGAAGTTTCAAATGCTTCTATTAAATTTGTGTTGTGTCAAAGATGAAAGCTGGTTATTAGAGCACAGGAAACCAAGGATGACCAAAAAAATGGTCAAAGCTGTATTAGTGAAGGGTGTTTTATCTACCCAGCCCATCAGCTTAAATAAGGAGACACAAAGGCCTTCATACTGAAAAGCAGTGTTAGTCAGTTGGTCAAGAAAGGCAGGCATTGGACTGACTAACAAACCCCTTCACCTTAAACCTTAGAGGAGTGTCAACAATTTAGACTCAACAGGATAATATGACGTTGAAATGTGTCAGAAAGCCACACTAAACATGCTTTCCCCTTCTCTATTGTCTTGACTAGACTCTGTATGATGGTCAATCTATATGGGCATGAAAAAGCAGAGTTACTTTGTGATCAACAAAAATAACCAACTAGCTTGGCAACTGCCAAAATAAGCAGTAGCCTTTACAAATTTTATTACAGATCAGGGCCCTGACCCAAAGAGGTTTGTAAAATGAATATACTTCCAAATTAAACATGTTAGAATGCACCCCACTGGTTTACTCGCCCCTAACTACTTAACTTTAAGTACAAAGGTGAAAGTAAAACTGGAACCAATTTGACTGGCAGCTGTTTAAAAGTAGTGTGGATTTAACACACTAACTTTTCAGTGAACATAAAGAGGCGGTATGGCCAGACGTGCCCCCAACTGCCTTCTGCAACAGTATAGTTAGGTAGCCATTTATGGCTGGGTAGACTTGGGATGCCCCAGGCATAAACCAGTATCGCAAGGACAAGAGGTAAACGTTATATCCACTTGGCAATACACACACACCTATAAAATACCACTCTACCTGAACCAAATACATTCATTTTGTACCATTTTCAAGTTGCCATATAATTTCAATATTTTATTTATAGATATTACCAATTAGGTGCATTTTTACATCTTTTAAATATGAAGGATATTTTCACTATGAACCTTTGGGAATCCAACCCTAGAACTGTTAGCCTGGAAGTAAAGTTGCTAAAACATTGAGCGACCAAGAAAACTGTTTACCATAATTTGGTAATGTAGCACCACAATTTTATTAAATAAAACATTATTCACTTTTAAATAGAATAATACGGTATACAGTAAATAACCCTCAGAAACCAGTTTTGCAAATTACCAATTTTCACAAAGGGTACAGTTACACCCTCTCACTATCACATGCCTCAACTGTCGTATTGTACAGTACCTGCATATCAGCCCTTAAGCCACTTCTACCAGACTACAATGCCAACTTGTTGTAAATGTAAAATAACCCAATACCGTAATGCAAGTACCAAAGTGGTCTGAAATGCACTTTTGATGATAACTTGTCACACATTGGCGTCAATAATATTTTAAGTCAATTATTAATTTTCTGTGACATCCATGAACCTCAGCATACTTCAAACATCACTGGAAGTTTATTGGATGTTAATTCTTGTTATTTCCAGTGGACCGTAATCACATATGCATACCTACTACTGTAGACAGGAAGCTCACCCAGTCTGCTTCCAAACACCAAACATATCTACTGTGATTCAGGGGTTCATCCACCACAAGGGTTGGTGTTCACCTGATCAGAAAGCAGATCATGTTAGTGAACTAAATCATGATAACAGTGAATTGAGTGACAAATTTGTTACGGATACTGTACTGAATTTGAGTTGACTTTGGAAGAAATAGAGAAAATGATCCGAATACCTGGTAATACGTACTGGGTCTTGGGTAATGTAAGTGCCCTGCAGGTAACATATCCTTTCTGATGGAAAAAATTTGGGATGGCAGGTCACATGGTTCAAGACATATCCCACAACTGTTACAATATATTTTTCATGGGCCCAATTTAAATTTCACATGCTTTGTACTTGCTGAACATGTTTGTAGAGGCTTCTGGCAACTGCCTTGAGGCAATGTAAGGCTCTCACCCATTAGTAATGAATGCAGAACATTGATATAATTTTACAGTATTTAAAATTCTGGAGATAATGATGACCCTCCCATGCAGTGACAGTGATATTAGTGACTTTCCTCAATCTCTGACAAGTGAATCTTAGGGGAATTTGAGTGGTAAGGAAGAGGAATATGCTCCCACATCGGATTAGAGTGATTATTTGTTTACCCCCATCCCCCCCTCCCCACCCATGAACTTTGATGGTGTAAATAAATAGTTTATGATAAGATAAAAATGCTATTATATTTTATTGCTTTCGTTTTATATTCCCCGTCCAGTGAATAATGACCACAAGTTGCCATCAAAGGGTTAAGGCAGTGTTAATGAAAGAGTTACGACATTCTTTAAATACTGTACAGTATCATGAAAATTTACCTAAACACTCAGTCTTGATACTTATACCTAGATTATCAAGAATGATCAACATACGCGTAATTTTTTTCTTGATGAAATTGGCACTCTTTTTTAAAACAGGTGCTCACTGTATGTATATAAATATTTTTCATAAACAAAAACACACAAGGTATGTTCCTTCTACCTCTTGAACCACCTGTATCTGTTAATCAGTTGATTTGGAATGTTTGAAGTCATACTTTTTATATTTTATCACTTCAAATTATTTTCAATACATATATCAGTTCACCAAAAGTGTAGTAAACATTTAAGATGAGATTGGTAACCAATAAACAATAAAAGTTCTCATAATTTTCTAAAACTCCTGATGAAACCACATCTAGTGATTTCATGTCATAATAATTCTAAATAAAAAATCTCCAGCTTTCTTACCACTATAAAGTAAAATTTAATATGTAGCGTTGCTCAGCACCAAGAACCATTTTGTAATATACAGGCTGTAAGATACTGTAAAAGGTCACCGTGAAAGATCCGACGCCTCACTACAGGGGCTCACACTCTCCCTCGGTTCTGGAGCTTGTGGGACACGTTTTTTCAGAAGATGCTGACCAAACTGTAAGAAAAGTATTGATTAATAAAAAATCTACTCTTAACTCTACAATCAAAGAGGCTCTCCTAATCCTCTCATAAGTGAACTTCACTGCTTGTATAATATGCTATCAACTAAACCCTTAACTATAAGATATTCTACAGAGATCCACCCAGCTTCTAATATTATTTCTATTACATCAAACAATAGTTAAAACATTTCACAATCATTCGACCTGTCCTGTCTAATTTGCAGTAAAATCTGTTACACTGCAGATACTATACAGATTAATATACAGTATGAATCACATCTCTTAATAAGGCTTCTTTTCTCATACCTCACTTTACCACCTCATGATACTGCTTACCACAATTTCCAGTGCCATACAACTTGTTTCTTTTAATAAACAATACCCCTGTACAGTATTATATTTTAAATGTTTACATTCATTCATAAGAAAGAAAAAGTAACTTTGCATCTACTGCAAAACTAACACTGACTCATACTGAGGGGTGAATGCAAATGGGACTGCCTCATATATAAAACACTTTGGTACAAAGAAGCCATTGTCATACATGCTGTTATCAATCATTTTGCTCAAATGGAAACAAATCAAATTTTTAACTGATAAAAGTGTAATAGTGATGCCTCATTCCCTGAGACCTTCCCCTGTGGGAGGGTGGCCATGAAGGAACAAAGAGCCCCCAGGTTGTACCATGTCTCTTTTGATCTCTCCTGTGTCTAATGTGTACTGCCAGAGTAGTACAGGGTAGTTACAGTTACAAAATATATTCCCAAAACAGTTGTCACAACAATATACCTCATTGGATACCACTATCCTTGAATTTTCCTCTTTAAAGATCCTTAGATCTGAGAAGTGTCTTTCTTTGAGGGTGTGGCCTCTGCCTCTAGTTATCATAATTATCACCTCCACACTTCGCCCATCTTCTACCCTTATAAAATAAGAAACCGTCATCACTTACCGGTACTCTATCAGGAAACAAACAACATGCAGAAAGGATAAAGGATGCAAAAGCAAGCATACACAGTATAAGCTGCAAAGTAGGATAGAAAGAGGAAAAGTTAAATATCTAAATATATAAAATATGACAACTGAAACAATATTACTGAAGTTGAAAAATGAGCAAACATGCACTAGGTGATGCAATGTGAGTGAAGATATTGTACAGTACAGTACTTGTATTTACCCCTCTTCTTCACCTGTTAATGTATGCCCCACCCCATTTAAATGTTTGAGCCTGAAAGACCTGTAAATCAAGTCACAGATTTAGGTTGAAACAGGATAGATATGTCCTCCACTTTTCATCTGGAAATTTATGAACCAGCTGGGCTTTGACTTACAATGACTTGGAAATACAGTACTATTCTTACTCCTCATCAAACTATTACACCTCACCCCTTACAAAAATGGCTACACCTTTTATTCCTTCCAATCAAGTTCAGTAATTATAATCATTCTATTTTTCCACTCCTTGCCTGTACTGAATAGAGAAAACAGCTGCATTATACAAAATAACAGAAAACTGACAAAAAACTATTTGCCTGTCTTATCATATCTGTTGTGATTATCATTATCCTTTCCACAAATATTGTAGCTTCTGAGCACAGCAAATAAACTTCCTGGATAGCTAAATGCAGAAATCTTTGGTAAAGGTTATTTGAGCTGCTTGAAGGTCTCCAACATAAAAAACTGGGGCAAATCGCTGACTGAATTATTGATGTATGAAATTTTCCTTTGCCAAAGTGATCTTAAACCCTTGCTTTACCAAACAGTCCTTTCTCCTATACAAGAAAAATTTATCAATCATTATACAAGCCATCAACATTCTACTTACTATTAAAATCCTAAATACCTGTACAGTACAGTATACCGAAGATTAAAAATATAGTACAGTGCTTATCAGCTTGCCAACAACTTACACTATTAAGCACAAAAATATGAAAAGAACACATGACATGGAACAGCAAAGCATGGGTAGAAAATTAATAAAACACCAAGAAAAATGTACGTCTGTGGAAACAATAAATTAGTACAGGTAGTTGCAATGTAAATACCTGTATAGCTAATGAAAGGAACCATAATTGGAAAGAAAACCAATTCTGGTATTTTTTACCGAAACATTAGAGGTTTCCATAACCAACTACGATCAAGAAATCTAATCTTTTATGTTAAATTAATTTTGTGCAAGCTTCACTAAACATATTACTCACGATAATAACGTACCAGTTATTTCACAATCAATCAAATCTATTTAAACTTATAATTTTCACTTTTTTCTCAAACATTGTTCATTGTCAGAATTATTCCTTACCAAACTTTTATCACTTTTTCACATCACTACTAAATCAGTTCTTGTCAGTACATAATCGACTGCTGACCATTATATTTTATGTTCATTTACACTAACATGATATGAAAAATTCCCCACTAATTACCTTTATTCCCCAAGACAGTGTAAATATAATTCTTAAGATAGACTTGTTTCTGTTAAGTTATGCTACAGTACATATAAGCAACTTACAATAGGTAGTGAAGATTTCTCTACCTCTCTTGGTTTTGGTTTTGGTTTTTGTATTCTAGGTGAAGGCTTCTTCAACATCTTAAACAGATTCTGTGTTGGTGTTTCCTCTTGGAGTATCTTACGCTTTGGAATCTCAATCCGACTTCTACGGTCCAGCTGGGGCGTAGTGTCAGGAGATGAATCATATTCATTGCTCTCCTCATTAGCTTCCTTTTCTGGAGAGTCTGAGTGCATATTGGCAAACCGTTTCTTCAGGGCAGCAGCAATAATGGCAGCAGGATCATTCGGTGCAGGTGACTTTGGCCGCGATCTTACTGGAGTTCCACCCGGGGACCTGACCAAGTATTTCAATCAATCAACATAAATCTACACTATTTGATATGCATTATGATATGACTACAAGCTGTGTCTATTATCTAATATATATATATAAAGCCCTATTTCACTTTAGTGAGAGTCTCATCAAGGGTTACATAAATCTCAAAGAAAGGAGGAAATAATAGGGGACTGGTGCAAGATAAGTATAAAAAGTGAAAGGAAAGAGTTAGAACAAATAGAAATATCCACACATACCTGGTGCCTGGTCACACCTCTAACCTGCATATGCAGTACAGTATAATGTGAATCTATAACAATGATGCTAAATATCTAAATAATTTTTTAATTGCATAATAATTTAGAAACTGACTTAAATATTTCTTACAAATTCTGAGCTTATTCCCTTCTTCCTCTCCTTGATTCTACAGTTACATTTGACAGTAACTAATTCATGGTGCAGATGTATCCATTCACGACAACCTCAGTTACTAAAAAACAACGCTCATATTATAGTACGGGGACCATGTGAAGATTAGGCAACCCAGCTTACTTCACCTGATGATTAGACACTCTATTGCTAACCTAACCAAACTTAACCCAACCCCCAGGTAACATTACATACTAAACTATCTGTCCATCTTTTAAAATCTTTTCTTTTCTCTCATTAGGTACACCTGGTAAAATATTACCATTACAATTCCAGCACAAAACAAACTGACACTACAGACAAAGTGTTTCAAAAAGGCCCCTGAGGCATTCCTCGTATTGTTAGTCCTGCGAGTGTATGGATTCGGCCACATGTGCTCGAGTCAGAGTTAGTGGTGCCACACTAACACAATTTGAAACTTGATCAGAACTCTATGCCTCATTTCTCCACGTCGAATACACATTGTGAGCAGTGTTGTAGCAGCCTAATATTGTGATTTACGTAATTAGTGCTACCAACATTTCCTGTTATCTTACATAAAGAATGTGTATGTTCTATGAACTGTGGAATTACTGTATTCAGATGTTTCGGAACAGCATGGTATATTTTCCAATACGAATAAAGAATGACATAATGTGGCATTAGCCCAAAGTGAAGTAGCAATACAAATACAGATTCGAAATTTGGTTGTAAAATCATCTTATACCTTTACTATATCCACTAATTCTGCCAAACATATAATGCATTCCTATATGGCAACTCATCCACTTCCATGGTTACTGTAGTCCAAGGTGTGTGAAACATTTAATATAACATACAGTTTAACTTATCTTGATATACTGACATTCTTCAGTCATATTGTAACAAAGTATAATTCAATATGTCATTGAAATAGCTAATTTCGGCCTACCAAATTAAGTACAAAGTGTCTCACATTCAGGCCTACCAACCCTCGCGAGACAACGGGAATATTCAGTTGGAAAATCATTGGACCCCACCTGTATGGTAGTTTTTTTTACCGAGTGTACAAGGAAACAAAAAGAACATGAAATGTGTCTCTGCTCAAATACCAACACTTAAACAATAATGAAAGATAATGTATCATGTTTGAAAGACGAGCGAACTACAGATACACAGGTCCAAAGACTGATAAGGAGAATAAAATGTCCACTTACCCAAAAATATAACACAAACTATAGTATTCCTGTATTGTGTGCCACTCTATTACTGTACATCATAATCTGCACCTGATTGCAGTACAGTACTACAAAAATTAAATGACATGCACTACACTGCTTTGTTAAGGAATCTATTGCCATTACTTGCCCTTACCTTGATACTTTTTTCAACTTGACTTTGTTGAGGCCCTTAAGAACATCCGTCATTGATACTGGCCTTGAGATGCCGTTTTCATTAGCAGGAACATTTAAATCTTCTGTGTGCTTGTTTATATTGTCTTTGTTTTGTGCAATCATTTCAGAGAAAGATGGTTTCCTCAGGAGGTTGGGGTCTTGAGTACTAGTTGGCAAGGAAGACTTCTTCCATATGGCAGGAAGAGGAGGAGCTGGAGGAGGAGGAGGTAGACAGGATGGTGGGGGTGGTGGTGGGGGTGGGACTGGTGTTGAAGGGGTTGGACTAGATGGAGGGGTGACAGGACGCTTTGTTTGATTCAGTATTATGGAAATTTGTGATCGAAGCAGTGAGAGCTCATCCTCTAAAGCTGAAATCTTGGCTAAGGCAGAGGGATCTGTGAATGGAGAAGCTGCATGTATTGTTGAATGATGAAAGCTGTTGTGTGGCAAGTTTTCGTGCTGTTGGCGAGCAACAAAATTATCTTCTGAGTTGTGGATGCAATGGTGTGGAGGACCAATGTCTGATGCTATGCTAAAAGGAGTGGAAGATCTTGGAGTGGCATCACCATTTATATTTCTATCTACATCTCTACCAAGAGGGAAGAGTTCAGGTGCTGTTTCACATCTTGATAAAAGAGGTCTGTGGATATAAGTTCATTACCATTAATAACAACAAAAATATCATCTGAAAAAGTATTGTACGTACTATTATATACATCACACAAAAACTTATTTCATCACTTTGACTATTAAGAAATGTATTGCATGATTTACCATATTTTGATGATATCAATACAACCCTTCCTCAAAAAAGGGGACTTAGAAAACAGTGGCATGATCTCTCTCTCTCTCTCCCTCTTTCATGCATGGACATACCGTATACACAATGATGATAATTCTTTGGTATATGGTATATTCATTAAAGTAAGAAATTACTGCATGTCATATGACAGATAGATACTGGGTACTAAAGTTATATTTGTTTCTTACCAATAGTTCATTTATCAATAATGAATACCTATTACATCAACCCCTGGCTCAGGTTAAAAAAAGTATTTATATGAAGTCAAGACAGAGGGAAAGAAAGATGATGGATTCATTCTGAAATCTGTTTATGACTAAACCTGGAAAGAATAACGCGTGCATAAACTGGCCAAACTCTACAGGGCAGAAACCCAGCAAACCTTGTACTGTAGGTATTGATACAACAAGACATTAAGAGTTTATAATATAAATCTTGTTTCCCATTAAACGGTGTGCTTAAAAATGTCTTAGATGTCATTAAAAATAAGTTTTAGGGCAGATTTTTTTTGTAGGAACGTATTTCCAAATTTGTATTGGAAGCCAATGGGAAAATTGCATTTGATTTACAAATGGATTTCAGGAAAGAAACCCTTTAAAAAATCAAAGGGTAGGGGGTGCGGGGGTGCCTGTATGTAAATTAAAAAAATTCTGTCCTGCCCTCTTATGAACACTAACAGAGATTTAAATTACTCACCTAAACCTGGATGATCTTTCAGTATCAGCGAGCCACTTGGAGTCTATTCGACCTTGGGTGTGTGCAGAGAAGAGGGAGTCACACGATGTGCTCAAACTCCGGAGGGCAACATACCTAAAACAGCATCCTTCAATATCAACCAACATTAAATATGTATAAAATTAATAACATTCGGTCAAATAAGACAAGAAAAACAGAGGCAATATAACTAGTAAACTTTTTTGGGGTGGCGGGGGGCCTCTTCTAAGTCTTTTCTTACTACAGTATAATACAAGGTGGTTGGAATTAAGAGCAAACAAAGAATCTCTTACTGCTGTAACCTAGTGTTCTGATGTATGCTGTATTGTTTTCCTTTCACAACAACAAAGCTCCATAACAAATCATCTTTTCCAGCATTAAGAAAGAAAGGAAACAACTAAATCTGAGAAACTGTAAGGAATTTAAAACAATAAAAGCTACCAGTACCTTCAGAAGACAACAGCATGAATAAAAGCCCAAAAAAAATAATGTAATTACCTTAAATATGGTCTCTCAACAGGTTTAAGAGGTAGTGCAGAGCCAATGATGCGAATCCATGACCTTCTTCTTGGGCGTGAGACCGAGGAAATTATCTCCTCTCTTAGTCTGAGCACTAGACGACCCAACCCTACAGCCTCAAGGACCACCCACAATCCATCACCAATATCTAGCCATAGTTCCTCCACCACTCCCACTAGCACTGCCCAAATGCCACTCATCCTGTTAACATAAAAAAGAGGAGAAAGCAACAGTGTGAGATTTTATTAAATACATTTACAGTATTGGTAAATGTTCAGTTTGACTTAACCAACTTATTACTGTACTTAGAAGTAGAGTAACTTCCTAATAGGGAAACAAGGAAAAACAAGGGAACACCACTACTGAAGCAGAACAAACCCATCATAATCAAAACTAACAGAGAATCATTAGATTACCTGCACTTGTGTAAGATATCTTAGTTCTTGTGCTCTGCTTTATAAATGACAAAGAAAAGAAATTAAGATTACTTTACACTACAGCATTTCCATAAAAAATCTAGTTTTTGTGTTATTTTCGCTTTTTTTCACTTAAGAAAGTACAAGTTTGAGGGTATATTTTTTGTTTATTTCTAACCCAACCAATTAGCAGAAGTGTCAATGTTACGTGATACTCAAGTGCAATCACTTAATTCCTACTCAGCCAATCAGTACAAGCCTCAATGTCACGAATTTGAATTAGTAGGAAGACGGCATCTGTCTGTGATAGTTGCTCATTGGTAGATGGGTGTATTCAACGAGTACAGTATTTGAGATAAATGTCAGAGTTGTTGACATCTTTAGGCCTCATGGTGTTCTCTTTGGTTCAGTAAAGTGTCTCAGGTGTAATACAGACTCTGTATCGTCACGATACAGGTAGGTCAGGTCCTTTTGATTTCTCTGGTTAGGTTAAGTTAGACATGTATACAGATATTTGAGTAATTTTTGTGTTTTTACCCCATGTTGCTCATGAGGTAGGGTGTCCGATCTCCAAAAGTAACTAATTTCCGCCAGATATGAAGGTCATATTCATGTATTTCACAGTGGAAAAACACTATATAAACATATTTATGAAAATAATTCCCATGGTCACTACGAAATATTTACCCTTGTCTCTTCATGAGTTCAGGGTACAGGACAGTAATAGGAGTGAGTTGTATCTTGAAATGGAATCTACGATGGAAGAATAATCTGGCATACATTTCATTATCACATGTATATTAATAGGCACAGGATACAGGTATGGCAGCCATATGTGAATCATCGATGTTTATTGGTACGGCAGCCTAATGCACAGACAATACAATGGTACTACCAAGATGGTCTTCTTTCTGACTAACCTAACCTAACCTAACCTAACCTAACCTAATCAAAATAAACATAATGTAACCTAACCAAACCTAACCATTAACAACAGTCTATCAATACAGTTGCCATACCTATATCCAGTGTGATTTTTGGCTTACGGCTGCTGCACCTGTATAATCAATATCCACTATGAAATTATTAGTGAGCCACTCTATTTTTCCTACACCAAACTTTGTACCTCAAGGATTACAACTCTTCTTCAGGTTTAAGTGACACTGATAAAATCAATAATCATTTACTTTGGTTTCATGCTCTATTAATGATAAAGTTCAATTGTAAAACATAACCCAATTCTCAATACGACTGTACAGTATACTATAAGCCTAATGAAGTTGTTTCAAGTTCAACAATTATGAGGTAGAGAAACATCACAAGCTCAAAAATTAAGTCCAGTCATGAATTACCCTCCATAATCAACAGTCAAAATATATCACAGTATCTCAAGTTCATGTCACGGTACAGACAGAAGAGTAAAAAAAAAAAAAAATAAAAAAAGACTAAACTGGAATTATTAACTTAGCAACTTTTTTGTAACCCTGACCCAATGTTTTCTCTACGTTAACACACGGACATAACTATAATAGAAATTAATTTAATTGATATATTGAGATCTTAAAACCTTCTACATGATGTGACCTTAGCTGCTCAACACATGTAAAGTACAGTAAAGGCTGAAATACTTACTTAAGAGGGCATCTGTTTTCATCTTTCCCGTCTGAGTGACATCACTACTGTGGACCGTTTTCTTCCATATATCAGGCTTGTGAAACAGTGAATATAAAACGCAAATTACTGAATTAATCGCTAAATACATTTCATGACATCAATATTTTAAACTTAAATATCAATAGATATAAATACTCATCAATTTAATAAGACATATTTTGATCATATTTCAATACTATAGTGGTAAAAATCTCGAATGTTATCGCACAATTTAATTTTTCTCAAACCTATACTGTATATAAAATACAAACTACTGTATAAGAAAATTATATCACCTGTGACTGAATGATATATGCTTACTGTATATCAAAATTTGTGTCAACTATTAGTGAAATGAACAGGTTTTGAAATCTTTACTTTTAAGACGGCCAACTGAGAAGGAATACTATGGACTTCTACCTGTTCATAAGTATTCATCACCAGAGGAAAGTGAAAGTATATTCAGATCGTGTTGTAGGTAATGTGTTGTATGTACTACACGTCGTATGGATATAAAATACACACACAAGAGTATACAGCCCCTATATCTATTATCTATATACATATACAGTGTGCGTTTGCATATGCCTTATAATACGACGTGCAAATATTTCTTACGAGTCCTGAATAAGTGAATATACTGCACTGTGACTGCACACACATCCATGAGTTTTACGAATCATTATAGGCATACATTTCTGTGTATAGCTGCATGGAAATATGTATGCATGTATAGTACAGTATGTATTTTTTTGTATAATCAGATATTGGGATAAAATGGACATGAAAGCAAGCGTACTTATCAATTTGTAAGCTCATGTATAGTACAGTACATGTGTCAGATAACATATTCATCACAGCTATAGACACTCCCATCACAAGTCTACTGTATAGCAGCCTCTCCCTCCTTCACCACACTATAAACACACCACTCCTCTTAAACCACCAACACTAACATTTAATAAAAAAGTTTATTTATATAATCACCAGGTTGAAGTGGTGTTAAAGACACAATGGCTTATGTGCCATGACCAAATGACACTGGTATGCATCACCTGTCCATAATCTCGGTTCACGGCAGCTGGGACACCTTATCGATAAACAAGTTAAATCAACACGGTCATCCCTCCTATCAGCTTGAGGTCACATTTCTGGTTATTACCTAAGGAACGTCATCATCATTGTACCGTTCATTTGTAACCATTCCTAAATTAAGTCAAAGGTAAAGAGCTAACTTATCGTTTTTGATATATTACGTAGATGCAACTGTATTTTTAATCCAATCTTAATTTCAAATTAGTACTGTCATGTATTCGTCACCATAGTTCATTCAAAGACCTAGAGTACAAACTACATACGTACCTGTACCCAGTAAGCGGATTTACACCATTACTTTAACTATTTACGAGTTCAGTTAATGATAATCTCTCAGTGTTATTTTTATTACTGACTGTTTGTGTGAATGTGTATAAGGGGTTTTGATATTGTACGCATAGATGTGTAATGTAGATAAGTATGAAATGAATACTGTAGATATATATATATATATATATATATATATATATATATATATATATATATATATATATATATATATATATATATATATATATATATATGTGTGTGTGTGTGTGTGTGTGTGTGTGTGAGATGTATTTTGTGTCTTTATCAGATGAATATTATCTGTCTGAAATGCATACGGTTCATAACATTCACAAAGACGATATGACGACCAAATGCGATAGCAACGCTCAAAGATTCAAAGAACCCGACGATCTTTTTGGAACCTGCGTGTGTATAATATTAATGTATGTAAAGTAAATAAGGTGTTCATAGTGTGTCTATGAGCAGCATAAAAATTACAATATTGGACCAACTATGGACCCCTGACAATCATGACCACTTAAAAGACAGCGATAAATGGACCGTAATAAGAAGTTAAAACCTCTAAAAGACAGTGGTAAAGCCTAACATTGGAATATACGCCAACAAGTCATGAAGGTCATTGCTACGGAAACGTGATGTCACACTTGATCAATTTGTTCTGTGTCCGGTGTGCTGCAAACGCTGAACTGGTCCTCTTTATTTACAGCTGATGTAGTAAGTAACGGGTTTAGCGAGGTTTGTTAAATATGAAAGTAAATAAGTAGATAATATTGTAAGTATGTATTCAGCTGTAGTGTTAGGTGACACGACTACACCGTCACACCGCGAACAGGTAGTAGACGAGACTCTGGTCACAATGGTGAGTGAACTCGTGATCGCCACTGTCATGGAATGATGGACCACTTGGTGAAGGAAACTCATTAACTCTTCATGAAGAGGAACGGTTGTCACGTGTGAGTAATCGTTACCCGCCACACACGCACTAGGCTTCACAGGCCACAAAGGTTTCCTGTACAACTCTGTCACGCATTGGCGGCCATCCTTAAGCATTCACACCAGCGCCGATTTACAGTATTGACTCATTTAGGTTCGATTTCATGATAGTTCTTAGAAAAGTTTAAATATTTCAATAAGATGGCTATATTGCAGACCCTTTACTTCAGTAACTTAAGTCATTATAAACAACTTGACAATTTGAGGACAGCTGTATCTCCTGTAGTATGGTAATCGACAGCTAGACTCTTCACTATAACTTAGGTAATGAAGCCCAGCTGAACCTTTAGGTGCCATAACTTTATCCCTTGCTGTACGACGACTAATAATTAGACCTTCTAACTGCAATAAACAACTATAATAACTTTAGCATCTCGAGTAAAGTAACAACCCTTTTTTTTTAAACTCGCGAAAAATACAACTTATTCTTTACAGCACATTTGTTATATTTTTGTGTTCTAACTTTAGTGAATCAGGTATTGTACATTCTTAAATCTTCACTTAAGAACGTTTGTGAATTTTGAAGCTAAGCGTACCAGATAATTCTCGTTAAATATTAAATAAAGCGAACATGCACGCTAATCCATACACAACAACAGTACAAATGTTTGATATTGATATGACCAGACAGTTAAGAAACACCTTGTCATGATGAGCTTCACGCAATAAATGGGTCGTGAAAAATATATGTCTATTGAACTCTCGAACATGAACCACAGTCCAGCCACTGACCACCAGAGCATTGTAACCTAAATGATAAATGTTCACAGTATTTGAAGATCTTTTTCTTTTACAATGGATAAAAAATTGACGCAAATGCAACAATTTAAGTAGATAGTGATAGAAAAACAAAAATGCGTACTACATAATAATAGATTGACTGATAAGCAAACAACTATGGAAAGTGATAGAGATAGAAATTAATATATAAACATGTTGATAGATTGGTTAATAGATTAATTGACAAGCAGACAGTGAGTGAGTGGTGTGAGTATCTTGAGTGGGTCAGTTTAGGGTCACACTTCAGCCAGCAAAGATGTGGAGGCTGAGACTTCTGCTGCTGACCACCCTCCGCCTACCGCCTGCCTTGGCTCAGGAGTCAACAGGTACATTTGGCTGTTGTTGTGGCACGATACTGTTTGGTGAGCTATGTGTAGACGTTGATAATGTGGTTACGTGAGTACAGAAAACGTTAATAGTGTGTCTAAATGCTGTGTACTAAACCTAGCCTAATCAACTTAACATAGCCAATCCTACCTTAACAGTCGTGCAGGATGGCATGAAGACCTTAACCCCGACAGCAATGGGTCCTAGGGAGGTAGGAGTGCTGTTCCTCCAGGAGTCTGGGATACCCTCCGCGCAGAGTTACGCCCGCATGGCCACGCCCTTCCCTGCCCTCACCACCTTCACCGTCTGCTACTGGCTTAGACTAAACAGGTTCAGGGAGGAGTCAACCCTCATGTCGTACGCCGTATCTGATGACAAGGATAACGAGCTTAGGATGGGTCAGTAGTAAACTAGCACCCTGCTGTCACCTACCTAAACTGATTGCCATGGATGGAACGAAGACGTCTGATTGGCTGAATCAATAACGTTTTGTCTGTATCACAATTGATAATTTTCCTCTCTTGTGTTGTACTTGTTCTGACGGCAACTCGCCTCTTAGTGGTTAACAAATCAGTCATTCAGACGTCTTCTTTTAGTCAATGAATACCAGTATTGGGTCAGTGCCTATCAGTACTGTATTTGCAAGGACCGTGTTACGAATAAATTTACCACTTACTATGTGGCAGATACTTGATAAACAAATGTTGGTGCACAAAATTGTCTTGTTGCTAAAAAATTGTAGGCCGACAGTACATGTAACAAGGTTTAAACAAAAGGCTATTGTTAGAGACAGGGTTCTGCTCACTTTGTCGCTGGGATTTACGTGTATCAGTCTGTGTATAAATATTCATTTATGTCAGTAAAACTAATCAAAACCTACCCTTCGAGTCTCAGGTTAAGTTCATTAGTCGTATGCTTCTGTTCAAAACACACATACACACACACACACACACACACATATATATATATATATATATATATATATATATATATATATATATATATATATATATATATATATATATATATATATATATATATATATATATATATATACTGTATTGACCTCGTCCATGTGAGGGCCATATATTTCGTACACAGTTTGACACACGTGTGCCCATCAGACCATAGGATGTCGGCGTACAAAGTGTCGCTACACAGCAGATGGGCAGAGACAAACCTGGTGACGCCTTTCCGCTACTGGACACACTTCTGCTTCACGTACCATCACGGATCTGGCGTCTGGAACATCTACATGGACGGCAAACATGGAGGACGCGGCCAGTTGCCTGCGGTGACTGGACCTCTAGAGGCCAACGGCGCCTACGTAATAGGTTAGTGTTGCATGTGACCATGGCCAGGCTATTGTTATAAGCTAACTGGCATGTCAAGTTCTTAACCTTTGAGGATGATGGTTTAGGATAATAGTCTATTTACCCTCAGAAAATGATGGTTTAACCCGTTGGGAACGAGTGTAAACTGCGCTCCTCAAAGAGTTAAGTGTTGTGATATTTTCTGGACAGGTCAGGAACAGGACAGTATGGGTGGAGGGTTCCAGAGAGACCAGAGCTTCAGCGGAGAGATCACCCTACTCAGTTTCTGGAACCGCATCCTTGACTTCACTACTGTCAGGAAGGTAAACGCTTCCTCTCAACGCTGAACTTCTTTTATGCCTGGGTTGTTTACAAAGACGGGTTACTTCTCAGTAACTTAACGACTAATTTCCACCAGCTTTTACCTTTTTAACAAACAAAACTGATTGTACAAATTAATTGGTTGCTGAGTAAGTTGCGACGCTGCATCAATTTCAATGAATTATTACAATTACTAAGAAAGCCAAGAGCGGGCTGAGTATCAATGATGGATCAAAATCTTTTACCGACAGCTGGCGAGTTGTGAGATACAGGAGGAGGGGGACGTGGTTGGGTGGTCATCTCTCTCATGGAATATCTCCGGGGAGGTGTCGTGGAGGGTGCAGGACCTGGACGAGGTGTGTGAGCGAGCCACAAGACATATCACCATCTTTCACGACAGGTTCTCACTCTCTGGTGCTCTACATCTGTGTAAGGTAATGCTCGCCTCCCGTCCACTGGTGGATTCAGGTTTTCGGGGGAAAACTGGTGGGGTTGGGAGGCGGGGTTTACACACCCAGCCTCCCTGACCCAGTGGTGGATCAGGGACTTGGTGATATTTTATACACCATACAGGGTGCCAGTCCTTCTGTCACTGGTTTAAAATGAAATATAAATATGGAAGAGACTCATTCTCTCCGAAGGAGATAATATGGAGTGAAATTGAGGGTATGACCATACGAACTATTAATTTGTAACAATCGATTTGAGGTTAAATATTTCCTCAATTAACAAGGTAAATAGATATGAGGTTATTGATATGTGGATGGGCAGATGAAAACGTGATTTAATTGACAAAATAGTTATCTAATTTATGGAGGTACAGTATATGACATACGAGCGTGGTGGTGCAGGTAGTAGGCGGGAGGATGGCGGTGCCAAAGACGGAGAAGGAGAACACCTGGATCTACCACACGTCGAGGGACCGCGACAACTACTGCTCTGGCGGCCAGGGGTCCTCCTATATGTGGCTGGGAGCCAACGACCAGGAGCAGGAACGACAGTGGGTCTACTGGCAGTCAGGAGACAAACTCTCCTGGGAGGGGCCCTGGAGGGGAGCAGGACCTAATGGTGGCTTGGTCGAAAACTGTCTAGTCATGCTGTCTGGGGCCTTCCCCGGCCGGTGGTCAGACATCGCCTGCCTAGACTCCTATGAGTTTTGTGTCCCGTGCGAGTTCTCCTATAGGTCCAGGCTATACCTGAAGGGTCCTGCAGTGTGCAATGCCTCACCTTTCAACCGGGAGTATGTACTGGGGAAGGAGCTGGGGGGCCGAGTCACCCTCAATGGCTACTTCCACTCAGACATCTTCTGGCATCACCAGGAAAAGTCTTGGGTCATCGAGTCTCGTAAGGTAAACAAGACGTTCAGGCTGGCATGCTCAGATATTCAAAGGTTAATTTTACCCTTAACTAGATGTGTGAGTACTCATCTAACTGACAAAATTTAGTGCAGAAAGATGGGCGGTTACGATGATGCTGAAGCTCTCCTATAACTTGATACATTCTCTTTTTCTCAGTTGGGTTTGAAAACTTGAGTGTGAATATGCAGAAGAGTGAGTGGTGCCCACGTCCCTCAGGTGTCCCGGCACTTACTATTCTTATGTCATAATATAGTCATGACTGGTACTATTACAGAAACTTGTATTCCATTTACTGTATAGGACACAAGGAGACACTACTGGCAAGACACAGTCACTTAAAAACTAATCTGCAATACACTCCTTCTCCCAAAGAAGGTGAGAGTGGGTTGACGATATTGCTATTAGTGTGTGCATGTGTGTGTGTCACTATGTACATTAAATTACTATGGCACTGCTCAGAAATTGAGAGGTGACCACTGTTGGGTACATGGAGATACAACAGGGCATGCTCTCTTTAGCTCTAGTACATTTACAGTGGTCATAACTGTTACAGGTAGCAGGGGCTGTGGCAAACTGGAAGCCACCGGAGGAAGGAATGTACCCTCTAGGCACCAAGACGTGGGCGATAAATGGAAAAGTGTGTGGGCTGAGGACGGGGGACACTGTCAACCTCACCCTGTCTGTGTGTGGTGGGGGACAGTTCACTTGCGCTGATGGAACCTGCATCCTCCTGTCACAGCGCTGTGACCTCAGGGTCGACTGCCCCGACCAGAGTGATGAGGCACAGTGTTCTGTGGTGGATGTGCCCAAGGGGTACCGCAACACCATCCCTCCTCCTCCCATTAGCGAGGGCAACCCGCTCAGTATCAATCTCTTGATAGACCTCATTTCCTTCCCGTCAATCGTCACCCAAGAACTGACTTTTGATACCACTCTCGCACTTAACCTCCGCTGGAAGGACGTCCGCCTCAACTATCTCAACCTCCATGATGACCGCACCCTCAACCTGCTCTCTAATGAGGCCGTAGGTAATATATGGACGCCACGAGTGTTCTTCAGCAACGCTCATGGCAACGTATTCACTAACCTGGACCAGGGAGCCAGGGTGGAGTGTATACGTCAGGGCCACTCAAAGCCAGGCCCTCCCTACCTCACCCACGAGAGTCAGTATCTCACAATGTTATGTTCCTTTCACGCACTCTGCAAGAAAGCACAAATTATCTGTTTAATTATTTTTCTGTCTCTTCAGTCTGTCTACCTGATTATTTGTCTCATTCTGATCATTATCTGCCTGTCTCATTATTTGCATCTGCTAAATTACCTGTCTGTCAGTCTGTTTGCCTAATTCTCTCGTCTGTATATCTGCCTGTCAACTTGTAAGTACAGTACTTCTTTCAATCTGTCTGTATGATTGTGTGTTGTCTACCTAATTAGCAACCTTCCTGTCAACTGTTTGTTTATATGTTTGTGTCTATATATGATTCTCCACTTGTCTGTCTGTACACTGATGAATGAAGTTTGCATGATGTCTTTCATGTGACATAATTCAACCTTGCTTGGTCTCTGAGGTCAAAGTTTCATTATAATATGAGCCTGGTTCAGTGAACTTACAGTATATACTTGTTCTAACACGCCTTAGTGGGTTTCATTATTATGTAACTTAAGAGTGAACTTAAAATTATTACATATCTTATTGAAGTTAATATTAACAATGACTATGTTACAGTGAACTTCCTTACAATGTGACTATTACAGTGAACTTCTTTCCATTATGACTGTTACAGTGAACTTCCTTAGATTGTGACTCTATTACAGGGAACTTCTTTCCATTATGACTGTTACAGTGAACATCTTCAATGGTTATGAGAACAGTATGGAAATGGGTCAGCTATACACTGTCACCTATGGTTGCGACTTCGACCTTATCATGTTTCCCTTCGATGCTCAGGTGAGTCAAATAACACAGCCCACTGCTCCCACCAGGTGACCTAACTCTGCCCACTGTTACTCAGATCATAAAGTATTGGGCTAATATCTTTTAGACTAAAAGGAAGATGCAGTCACTTAAATTCAATCTTATAAGCACCCACCAAGGTCAACTATATTGCCTTCCTTCCCCTAAAAAGTAGTTTTGTGTGTGTGTGTGTGTGTGTGTGTGTGTGTGTATATTACACTGAGGACCCATCACATGTCAAAATGGTAAACAGATGTGAAGTTCACTTACTACACCTGTGATGACGGAACATGACAGCTACCCGCTTCTTCCCCTTACAGATATGTTCGCTGCACTTCACGCTAGTCTCAGCAGCCTTCTCTTACATGATACTGATACCCTACGCTGCCAACTATTCTGGACCCAAGGACCTGATTGAGTACACCATAGGTAAGGCTCCAGGTGTCCTCAATATATTACATCATCTATTGTAGCATTTTGCAACAAGTTTCTCACTCTCTCCTTGATGCATATGTGTCTGAAAAACAAGGAAAAATACTACAGTACAATAAAATACAGTAATGATAATAATAATACTGTAGTAGTAATAGTAATGCTGAATGAGTTACAATAATGATAATTCACTCACGACGAGTACACTGTGTCCAGGGCGCGTGACTATGAAGACAAAGGAGGAGGGGGAGTTCTCCAGTGTGTGGGTGGAAGTGAGGTTCGTCAGGCGTTATGGCTTCTACCTGCTCACCCTCTACATCCCCACCACCCTCCTTATCGCCATCGCCTACTGCACCTTCTTCTTCAACCCCGAGGACTTCAACTCTCGCATCGTAGTGGCCCTCACCGCTCTCCTCGTTCTCTCCTCACTCTTCACCCAGGTCTCCCTCTGTCTCTGCACTTGTTTATGAAGATACAATGTAGCATATTTAGCTATTTTACAATACTTAGATTTTTTGTTTAAACATACATTGGTCTTTAAATAGGTACCAACTATTTTTGTTTACAGATGTACACTATAGCTTTTTAGTAAAGCACTTTTCAAGTTTTCTCGACAGCTGATTGTTTACAAATGCACAACCTTCTCTTCTTTAATCTGTACTGAACAAACTAAATAAAAATTAAAGACATGGATGACCTGAAGACAGTGATTGAGGCATAAGCTAGAGGAATGGCTCAGTGAGCTTGACTTTACTGTCTTCAAAAATATTCCATTGGTGATCTTTCGTGTAGCACCATATACTTGAATCTGGAGCAAGTTTTCCCCCACACTCCTGAAGCAAAACCCTCAAATAAATTGCCTGACCTATAGAGAGAAGTTCGGTAATGAGCCGAGCTAGGGAAGAAGTGGTGAGCTAATAGAGAATAAGGTTAGAAATTCACTCCCTATTCATACTATCCTTCTGGTGTGTGATAAAGAGACTGAATAATACAGGACTTAGGTGATATAGGGAAACTTATAAAATCCACAATTGTTTTAAATAGAATATAATTGACAGACTTGCACACACATTCCCTCCCCCTCCAGACGTCCAACTCCCTGCCTAAAACATCCTACTTCAAGCTCGTGGATGTGTGGTTGTTCTTCTCCATTGTCATCATTTTCATAGTGGTGATACTGCAGACACTCATTGACTTCTCTGGCAACAAGAAGTGGTTCTCCTGCTTGGACAGAAAGAGCTCCACAATGATACAAGTAAGTTGAGGATCTATACCTACTGATAAGGAAAACAAGTCACATGTATGCAAGCATTATGTAGGCTGATTGGTCCACCATTATAGTATCTCTCCAATAAACTAGGTTTGTGTGGGTAGGTTAGGATATTTATATTCCTTAGGTTTTCAGTTTGGTTGTTTGGATTATATTATATCAAGTGTGTCATTGTGTGTGAGTGGAATACTAGCACAGTACAGTAAATGAAAGGTGAGTTGGTGTCTGCTCTTTGGTTCAGCCTCTCTGCAACACAAAAAGGAGAGAGTTTACAAATAAAGTGCTCGATATGCCGGCATTCTTTTATGCAAAAAAACTAAAACAAAAGGCAAATGATGTCAGTAACTCACAAAGTGCTTCTGCTAACAATGATCTACACCCCAGCAGAATTTCTTGCACCTAGTAAGTGACAAATATTTAGTTACACAGGTACATGTGCTCTATATCTGTAAAGAAAAAGATCTTTATTGTGAAAGAGCTCCACTGCCACAAGGTGAAAACAATATAAAAATGAATAAATGGAGGATGTTGATATCAGCGAGGCTTCAATGGTGTGGTACTGTACAGTATAGTATTTTAACTTGGAAGTTTTAAGTGATCCCATAAATCGTGAAGATGGAAATGAACCTGTTCCTCGTTTTGTTTTGTTTTTAGATACAGTAATACCAGGTCAATCTTTACCAAATACTGCAATAAAATTTCCCTCTTTCTCCTTTAGCCTTCTGCTCATCTTAATCTCCTCTCTCTTTTTAAAAAATCAACATTTCTCTTGATAAATAACCTGACCCGTGGCAACTTTCTCCACCATTTTCTTACTCGTCTGGTTCAGGTGCTGGAGAAAGGGGAGCCCCAGCCTACAGCCCCATCCTCAGATCCCACTTTTCCCAGAGTAGTAGGACAAGCCAACATGGGCATGGTTAAGTTTGGAAGAATGATCATTCCTACCATCTTCCTCATCTTTAATTTGGCCTACTGGGGTTCTGCTCTCACGTAAGATATTATCACTCCTCTTTCATTTCCTTTGATTTGCTTTCATGTCTACTTCCAGATATTTTCCGTCATCCTTTCTACATTCAAGCAATGATTATGCCTCCCTTCTCTACTTATTGATCAATTTATATTTATTCATTCAATGCAAACTTTCTCCTAGAACACAGACTACCAAACTCGTTAATAATCTCGGACCTTTTTTTATAATCATCTATAAGAGCTGTGTTATCTGTAAACATCATTCAACTCACCTCCTACGTATATCCGGTATCATTATTCACTACGTATATCCGATATCATTATTCACTATATATATCCGGTAGTATCATTATTCACCAAACTATCACTTCTTTCACTCACTCTTGTCTATACATTTCCAACTCCACTGTCCATGAATGTATTAAACAACCATGGTAATATTACACACCCTAACTTTCACTAAGAGCCTGGTATATTCCAGAGGTTTATGCTTTTATAATTTTTAAATACAGTACAGGTATATACATCCCAATTACTTTTACACATTCTCTATTTTTTTTATAGTCATTCTTGTCATAGTTTGTACACTCATCATCCATTCTATCTTTACCCTACTTTCCATCCTTGACCATTTCAAAGGTGAATCTGTCAACTCCTGGTTTCTTTCCTATTCTTGAGTTTGTTTACATCCAATTTCACCTCCTCTTTCTATGTGTACAGTAGACATATCTAACTCGTGTCTCTTTCCTCTGTTTTAGGTATCTGGCTCAGATAGACATGTAGATGAAGCTCCAATGCCTTGTAAGGTATCAGTGCAAACTTGTATGACGATTTTACTGAATAAATACCTTTTCATCTATCTAACAACACAATCATCTAAGTGTCGTAAACAATACTACAGTACAGTATAAAAAAAATTACTACTACAGGTTCTAAAATTAAGTTACAATAGATAGCAGTGCTTATTAATCACCAGGCACTTAATGTATTTCTACCTTGACTCTTGATAGTATATCCTAACACCGACTTGGGTCATTCCCTAAAATTTACAGTCCTTTGTAATTCCTCTGACAGTTCTATAACCGACTCACAGAAATTGATTATTATAAAGCATTTCTACTGGGAGGGTAAGAGTAATAAGCACTTTACCTGTTGATGACCTCCAGTACAGCATCCACATTTAGCAAGAAACCACACACCATTACCTAGGGAAACACTAAAACAACAATGGAGTAATTATAGTTCAAGATGAAAAAGAATCACAGTATATGTACAACCAGCAAATTATAAGAAGTATCCTGTAAATGGGAAATGGATGTGTGTGTATCATGCCAGTAACTTATATACTGTACGTACAGCTGAAGGACAAGATAGACCTTGTTCTGTATCCTACTAAAACCCTCTCACCATAAATGAGGATATTTTGTTTGCATCACGCTCACAAAACCTAAGCCTGTGCATATTTTATTTTGGCAATAATTTATTTGGGTTAATGTCCTTCACCAGGGGGCTCTGTAATGTTGGCAGCCAACCAGGACTTTCCGTGTCCCTAGGCATCCCCCAATTATTCAATCTGTGATATATACAGTAAACCCAAATGGGTACACTAATCATCCCTCCCCTCCCCATTGCATTCAGTAGCTTAAAATTATAGAGATCAAGTAATTATAACATGTGTCCACTAGAACAGGGTTTTACAGAAGCTTTGTGATTGATCAGAACACTTCACATCAAGCTCTCATTCAGCCATCTGAATCAGTACCTGTCGAGTAGACAGCACAAGCCAAATATGGACGATTGATCCTAAAATCCCTTTTTCTGGCTGAGCTCATAGCCAGGTGGTTTGGACCCCACACCTTCTTTATGGGTTTTCCCGACTTCCTTAGCTAGAAATTGAGTCAAAGATGGTGAAGCAAATTGTGATGATTGGTCACTCGGTTATAAGTCCTCCTGATTCCTGATGTCAATTGTTTCACTTGCTATCCTAAACTTCACAACAGAAGGTGTGCTGGGGATGATTGGTGTACCCAGTTAGGTTAAGATTATCACATACAATATTTACATATGTGCCTATTTTCTCTCCAAGATAGCTGTACAGTACTAATTACAGTATACCGTACTTCCTTCAACTTGTCATGTGGCAAGTTAGTGTAAAATGTCAATTGATCAAGGAAAAGTCATGGGAATATATTTTACACAACTGGTGGACATTCTGGGTATACAGTACCTGGGAGCTTTAAAGTTGAGGATAAGTTAACACTTGAGTGTGTGTGTGTGGGGTGGGGCAGCCTCAAAATAATGCCAGGTAAGACATCTCAGGATGACAATTGTAAGTCAAGGAGATATTTGTCCACTGTACTTGTAATTATATTTTTGTGTTCATTTTAGTTTTCTGTATTAAAATTATTCAATAAAGTAAAGTACATCGTTGGAACAAGAATGCAAAGAAATTTTTTTTAAGGTGATGTCAAATTAATCATTAATGAAAAATCTCAGAGGATTTAAAAATATACATTTTCTTTTTATTTCACTATAAAACTAGTTTTAATCATATGAACATCTGTTTACACAATAAAGAATACATCAAACTCCCTGGAATAGTACACAGTAAGCAAAATGCTTCCTGGTGAATATAACAAAATGCCAATGAGGAAGCTGTATAAAATAGTGGTGTACTGTAGTATCACCTCTGGTCTTACACCCCACATGTTGAACATATACTGTATACACCACAGCAAGTTCTTACTTTTACTGCACATAAAATTATATAATTGGCTGAGATAATACTCATGCTTCATCCTAGCATTGTACCTGCTTCTTCATGTATGTATTAACAAATTTTAGATGAGTCATATTAAGAGAGTTTTCAACACCAAAAAAGGTTTTGTTTCCTCAAGAATAATGAGAATCTGGTGTGTTTTGTTTTCCCAATTTTTATTAATGTTATGGAAGGTAAGCCAAATCACTGAATTTTTAGCTGCCTACACTGGATTCATGACACTCAATGCAACAAAACAATTTTCTTTCTTAGAAAAATGCATAATGTGGCTATTTTAATTTAACAGAGATTAGTAACAAGAACAAAGGTAATTTCTACATTGTTAAAAAAAAATTACTTTCAACTAATTGATCATACTGTTGAGATTATGTTCCAAATTAACCATAAAAATAACACTACTTTAGTATGCAGACAAATATACAAACATACACTATATACACATACTATACAACACACTATCATTACGAAATTCAATTATCGCACAGGTACATTTTCTTCCATTACAACTCATTTTCTCATCAGTGAATTAGTTCAAGACTGATATTGTATATTTTAGTTTGTACAATGCCTTCATAAACCTATCCCTCTCTGCTGCATTAGGAGTAGAGAGGCTGATGGAGAGAAAACATATACTAGTCACCTCAGTGGTAGACAGACGGTGAGTTGGCTACCTCAACCAATTATTTCATACATGAATATTATCTCAGGATTAATATAATAACTAAATCAAACTATACTCTTACAATGGCCCCTATACTAATAGCTCTATATACTGGTACATTTACATCATGGCTAAAGCTTGGTCACAACACAAAAATAGGAACAACTACCTAGCCAAGAGAGATGGGTGTTAGTGTAAAGTTAGCTACAAAAATATATATACTACAGTATATACCTATTATTCACAAAATATACACTAAAAGATTATAAACAACTGCCAAAATAAGCACAGTACAGTATTGTTAGCTGCCCAGTGACATAATCCACAATAAAGTTCTAATCATAAGGTTAACAGGTTGTGCAGTTCATAAAATACTGTAATCATGTTGCACACCAAATCAAGATTAAAACACAAGTGACTACAAATAATCTAAAGTATTTACCAGAGAAACCCATTGCAAGAAAAACCTACACGTAATTTGTTTATCATTAACGTGGAAAATAAACTCATACTGGAATTTTAGTTTCAATGATTTTACAGCAATTCCTAAAACTCATCGTACAGTCTGCTATTAAATGAAGAACCTGGCAGTGGCTGAGCTTAGAATCGTCAATTGTAGTTTAAGGTTTGTTTTACTCAAATGTTTTATGAAAGTCATCACTTCTCTGAACAAAAGATAATAAAAATGAACAGATAGTGTTAGATTAAGGTGGTGTAGGGGGGGGGGAAGCATAACAGAGGTTCTAACTTGAGAAGACGATGATTTTGGAAACTGTGTGCGTAGTGTATGTGTATATAGATGTTTACTGTACTGCATATTGTTTTAATGGGGTCATAACTGAAATAAAGCTAAATTTTTTAACCAATAGACATACAGTACAGTACTTTTAAACATATTCTTTACACACATACAGTACAATCATCGGGTCTAAATAAAGTATCAAGTTAACTTCGAACCCGGATATGGCTCCCGTGAAAATTTGTACCGGAAGATATTAAAATTAAGAATGAAAAATCACTGCAGTCATATCTCACTAGAAAATGCTGAACATGATCCAATTAAACAACCTTACTTGAATTATACACAAAAGTTACCAGTTTGACTTTTGATGATGCTCACACTAAAACAAAGCTTGCAAAGGTTTTTTTTTTTATCTTTGTACTGTTTCACAATTTGATTCTTTTCCGTTTTTCTTGCATGTTTTTCCCTGGGTGAACCACTGATACAGCAACCCTTTTTCACACTCCACATTTGTACACTACATGATACAATCCAGTACCTACATCTTGTGTCTTTAGTACTAATGCAAATACATAGCATAATTATCAAACTAAAACAAATTTATTTAATTCATCAATGTCCCTCTATGGGTCTGAACTATTTTAGACCCCACATTTTCACGAAGAGGACACAGAACTCCCAAGAAGGAACTGTTATTAAGTATCAAACATTAGTTTTATACTGTAGTGATAAAAAAAACTACCTCTTACTATTAGTCAAAATACTGATTTAATGAAAGACAGATATGGGTTCTTCCTTAACTGTACTCTGCATTGAGAGCCCGACCAATGACTAAGCGACGAATTTCACTCGTACCAGCACCAATCTCATAGAGTTTGGCATCCCTGAGGAAACGGCCAGTAGGGTAGTCATTGATATATCCATTTCCACCTGATAAATGAGGAAGATGCGAGTTAAAATGATTCTGGTGTCATGTGATAAAAGAAAGTGCTGTAAGAAATTTCATTTAATCACATAATAATATACTGTAGTGTATATTCTTAAATAATGTGAGTATTATTTTATGCCTCATATGCAGCACCTATATGGTGTAATATTTAACCTTTGTGGTGCTATTGTTGTCCAATGACAATTGTAAACATTTGAAGTTGCATGTAAACAGAAAACATATTGCCTTGCAAACATGATCAAGTTATCTTTCTCTCTTGATAGCTAGTACATGCTTGGCTATCATTTCAAAATACCGTACAGTATGTACAGTATATTTTATTTAAACCTCAGACTTTTTTTTATGCAAAGTAAAGATTAAATAAAGAAAGATCTTCAAGGGGGCAAGGGAAAAATGTACAAGTAATCTATAAACTTGATGCTTTTTATATAGCATATAAAAGAATTTACCTAAACACTGGATAGAATCAAGGCAAAGCTTGGTTGCTTTCTCAGCACAGTAGAGGATGACACCAGCACAGTCCTTCCTGTTGACATGTCCCAAGTCACACGCACGACCCACCGAATACAAGTAGGCTCGACACGCATTCAGAGAGCAATACATGTCTGCTATCTTACCCTGAAAGTAAAAGTGCACATTACTGGCCTGTACTAATAAGGATTCCTTACATTACAGTAAGAACAAGAAAATCATTGCTAATATCCATTACTTTCTTCTAAACAATGATGATGCAGCACACGACCCACTACAAGAACAAACATGCAAATAAATACATACAACTGTGAGAATACTGAGGCAAATAAAAATAGACAGATAAGCCGGAATATCACACACAAATTAAAAATTATGTCAGTTACCCATGCCTTACAGACATTCAACATCTCTCACGTTATAACTAATGTAATAAAGTAAATGTGAGGACTATCATACTCTGAAAATGTTCGCTGTCTATGGATTTATTTTATAAATTTTACTCACCCTCTTTTATGAGCTCAGCATAATATTCCCAATTCACAAAAGTATTCCAGAAAAATTAAAGTCTCAGAGCAAGAAAAGAATTGAAAGCTTATCAAAAAGTGAGGCAGTTCTTCAATGGCTCAATCTGTTCTCTTAGGCTGCTCAAAATTCTAGTTGATCTTATCGACAATCAAGTTATTCGGCGCGTTCATTGTTCTCATAAAGGACTGCCTGTATACTGAACATGTATCCTTTTCTTTTCCCTTTTTTTTTTATTTGCACTGAGCTTAGGAAAGGGCTTCTGCCAATAAAAAATGAAAAAATCAATTAAAGAATGAATATTACCCAACATACTTTAGCCACCAGAGCCTGATACTGGCAGATAGACTAACCTGCATTAACTGAAACTCTCCAATTCTTTGGTCAAACTGCTTACGAATGTGAACATACTCAAAGGCAACGTCACAGGCTGCTTGCATCAATCTGCAAGTTTATTAATGGCAAAATGAGTGAAATCTTCACAATGGCAATTACTGTAAGCATAAACACAAAGGTTGTTCAATACAGTATACAGTACTGAAAACTAAAGAAAGAGAAGGGGTGATTAGAAAAGAAAATTTGGACAGCATCAAATAAACAATACACCCAACAACAAAATACAATATTCTGAAGTGAACAAGAAAAACAATGGTACCCCTCATTTACTAACATCTATCACATGTAAATCTTAAGAGAACTATATCCATACTGTTGTTTTTTATTTATACAGTTCATATACTGGATCTACAAACAATAAGCACTTACTTAAAATACTAACATGGTGTTTCATCCACACATGTTGTCTTCATTTAACATTCTACAGGACCTCCCCCTCAGTTTACTATTACACACAGCAATAATAATGGTCTCATTAATTTGACATAGACTTGAAATTATGACTGTTCTCTTTGTCTAATGCTGATACATATTGTTCTTATGTTGCACCAAAATATTTGCATCAGTGTAAGAGTTAAGCTCCTGAGAAGAAATAGTTTATGGACACCAAAAATGACAATGCCATAACATACCACAATCATATTCAATATGCATTACAGATAAGGAACATACCCAACAGGGCCACCAGCCAATACCAATCTCTCGAGGTCTAGTCCAGAGAACAAAACATAGATGCCACCATTCTTCTTGCCCAGGATGTTCTTGGCTGTGGAAGGACAATGATTATGTTTTCCAATGTAGCATGGAAAATGACAGCAAAATGACAAAGATGATGACAAGGATATTAAGATGAGACTGATGCTCTATTAGTAGTTTCAGCTGTGCAATAGAAGAAGTATTGCAATCTCACTTTGCAATCAAGTTATACTTGTTCCAATCATCTGATAAGCACTATGTAATCACTTTGGCCCTATTTTGTCCATACTCTTGAATTTTTATCATTGGAGATCCCTCCTAATGCACAGATGCATTATTAATGACAATACGTACTTTACACAACACATCTTTTCTTATACCTGGAACTTTGCAGTCTTCGAAGATGAGTTCACAGGTATTAGAGCCCCGGATACCCAACTTGTCCAACTTTGGGCCAGTGCTGAAGCCTTCCATGCCCTTCTCTATGATGAAGGCTGTTACTCCATGCTGGGGTTTTGGTGTAGTAGGATCTGTTTTTGCATACACCTGAAATATTATAGTAATTAACCATTACTGACAACATGAATACAGACAAAAATTATTTTCTCAACCATTTTATTCAGAAACTTTATGCATGATAGTACTGTAAGGTAAGGGTCTCTTAGTAACATCCTGGCCTGATCCACTATGATTACCTTAATGTACAGTCGGGGACAAACGTTCATTCCCGTGGTGAAACCATGTCACAGGAATGAGTCTCCGAACTGTTGCTTCATTTTGCACGGGAGTGAACTTTTGACTGTACAGAACCTTCATAAAACCTGATTTCTTTTAGAGTGAATTATTGGTGCATCAAACACTACAAATTAAACATTAACATCTATTCTTTCCACAACTCACCACCAAAACATCTGCATCAGGTCCATTTGTAATCCAAAATTTGTTGCCATTAAGGATGTAGTGATCTCCTTTTTCTTCTGCCTTCAGCTTCATGGACACCACATCACTTCCAGATCCTGGCTCCGACATGGCCAGGGCGCCAAAGTGCTCACCTGAACACAACTGACAACCACCAAGAATAAGATTTTGAGAGTTGAATCACAAACATCTTTTCATCTTAATGTGTTGCATTGCTCACAATAGCCTTGTTTATGGTATACTGAGGAAAGGTACTAGACTTCATTTAAAAAGATGACTCAATACAAAATGCATACGCTGTATAGTTACAAATATCTTAGATTTAACAATGCAATAACAAGAGTCAGTATACTGTACATATGAAGTTATTAGCTGAACTGTTTTACTGCTAAACTAAAACTGCACTGTACTCTACTTAAAAAACTCTTAAACCCATCTTTGCTTTCTATTCTCCCTGACTCTGAGTTTTCTGTGTGTGTGTGTAAGATATCCTGTTTAAGTGTAGCAAAAACATACTGTAGTCCAGTTTAACTGCAAAAAAACATGAACACTTTGTCGCAGGTTATTATAATGTAATTATGCAAAAATATTCCTGAATCTGATCCCTCAATTTAGAGGAAATCATATACAGTACAGAGAATGAACCACTGGCAAGAGCTTCAGTCTTTGTAGTTACTAATCATCTATAACATTCCTTAGATAACTATATTGTACTGTAACACAAACTGATCACCAAACATGCTTATTACCTTGGGCAGATACTTCTCTTTCTGCTCATTTGTCCCATTGACATTAATCTGATTAACACAGAGGTTGGAGTGGGCACCGTAGGAAAGTGCAATAGCACCAGATGCTCGAGATATCTCTTCCATGACGATGGTATGGTCCAAGTACCCCATGCCTGAACCCCCAAAATCAGGATCTGCCGTGATGCCTAACAATCCCAGATCACCCATCTTACGCCAGAACTCCTGCAAAGTGACAACACAGAAGAAATAAAATTAACATCTAGTGTTCTTGAACATATAAAAGCCAGGTTTATTGTAACCAATCTCAGTGTGACTACCAAGTATGATCATTAACCTTCTTAAGATTGTTGAATAAATTACACATGTTGATTCTGCCATTAGCATAGAAAATACAGCACACTCAATTAATCTTAAACCATAAATGTGTACCCCTTAATACTATATTATATCTACATGTTGTCTTCAAACCTATAACTTCAAGGTTCATATAATATCACCTTCAGAAAATATGATCATGGTAAGATAAATATTCCTGTAATGATGCTAATTAAAGTGATATGGAAACACGTGACCAAAAACAGAAAATGAAGTGAAACTATAAATGGATTTCCTTTACAATATCCAGAAGACTTGCATCTCCCACTGTAGTAAATGACAAAGGAAAATATCAGCTTCAAACTGATAACAAGATTTAGATTGGATTATCATTATAACTATAAACCATTCTTCATCAAAATCCACTGCTCTTTGGTTGAGTTACTGCTTTCAGGAAGTTGAACATGAATCTAAGCATTGTGGAAAAAGCTGGCAATAACTGCCTCAAAACTGGTTAAGAAACTCTTCAAAAAAGTCCACATAAAGTTACATTGTGTCCAGTATAAGGGCATTAAGACAAGTTCAATTTGTTCTTGAGATATCGAATTCACAACATTGACACAGGCGAGCAGTATTTCAAAGTAGTGTACCCTCCTACTATGAGGTACGAAATACATGTACTGTAATATAATATGGGGTTATCACAGTTAAAGTGATGAGAAAGATCAACACAGGAACTTGGAGAATGATGCGAAAGAGTTGGGCAATGATTCGGTTAAGCTCCCTGATTACAGTATACGTATATCTTTCTTTTTTTTCATGTGGCGATCTAAACCAATATCTTTGTTTTAGTGCACATAATGCAAATATGATAAAGGAGCAAGAGACAACCAGGTCTGATACCACTTAGAAGACAACAACTAACCTAACCTAATACAGTCTCTCCTCGATTTACGACGGGGTTCCAGCCCGACGACCAGGTCGTAAGTCAAAAAGGCGAAAATAATACGTAAAAATTCTAAAAAGGGTGTCTCTTTTTCTTCTCAGCACCACCAGAACTCTCACTTTTACACTTGCTAGCTATTTTAAAGGGAATTTCAAACAAAAATTTTGTCAGTACACAGCGCGATCACTAATGTCGGGACTCGAAAATACATAATGTGAAAAATATTTTATACGACCATGGCCGTCGTATGTCAGGGTTGTCGTAAGTCGAATACAGTCAACCCTCACTTTACGCGGTTAATGTAACCCACAGGGTACCGCGGAAAGTGATTAACGCGTAAAGTGAATAACATAACATATGGGATTAATTGAAATAGAGACCGGGCCGACCCCCAAACTCCACTTTTTGACGACACACAACTATGTTGTAGTAAAAATATTATCTTAACTTTATGATAGTATGCACACACAATTAATAATTAAGAGAAATATCAATAATATTAGGTTTTTTAACACTTACATTAGTAGAAAAGATGGCTGGGCACACGGGGATGGGCGGTTGGTTCCGAGGCAGAGGGCAGATTATTGGCCCTCACTTGTATCAATTGTATCACTATCCACCACAGAGGCTTGCAGGGCCTCTTTGTCAAACCCCCCAAAGTCCATATAAGTCCATATCCTCACCATAATTATCACTATCACTGACTTGGGCTGACTGTGGTGGGTGGCGGGTGAAGAACTGGTAATGTTTTGATGACTGGGGGACCTTGTGCGCACCATGTTCGCGCCGCTTACACAACATGGCGGATGGCGGGAGGTTTGGATCCAAAAATGGCCCGGCTTGCCAGCCGCTCTCCGCGTAAAGGGGTACACGCACCGCGGAATGTGAGCATCCTGGGTTCCAGCAGGGCACCGCGTAAACGTGGAAACGCGGAATGTGGGACCGCGTAAAGTGAGGGTTGACTGTATGTCATAAGTCGAGGAGAGACTGTATATAATTTAATGATTCTGAGGTACAGTGTTGGAGTCTGTATATTAAAATAATAAACTGATGATTATGGAGCTTGAGCCGTGTGTGTGTGTGTGGGGAGAGGTTGGAATATATCCAAGCACCTCATCCTATAAGAGTGAGGCAACATCACGGTCAACTACTTGAGCTTGACACGTGCTCTGCCTTTATAGATACATAAGAGTTCTTCAGTAAAGATCAAGTGATGGTTTTGGCTGTGGTAGTAGGAAGATGGTTCATTAGTTAACATAATCATTTAAACAATACTGCAACAAATGTGAGAAAGGATATACAGTAAAGGCTATATAATGTGGTGACTAAGAAAGTACAATAATTATACAGTAGAGTAAAAGAATAATCAAAGAACAAATTCTGCATTAACCTGGGAATAAATAACTTACCCGCCGTTCTGCAAATTCATTCTGCTTATCGATTTCTGCTGCCTTGGGAGCCAATTCTTTTTGGCAGAAGTCGAAGATTGTCTTCCTTAACTAGAACAATGTAAGGTATTCATTAATGAATATAGAGGACAGGTTATCAAACAAAATAAGAATGCAATTAACAATTACTAATTTCATCCTAGTAATAAGTGTTATATTTAACTGTAAATGTGAGTACTGAGTGTTATAAAAAATATATACAGTATTGTATATGCTTTATATATGCATTTCATCTTTTCAGTTCAACTATGAAAGCAGTAAAAATTAAATAAAACACTGCACTGTTGGAATTTTCCACCCAATACAGTATTCTCAAAAAGATTACAACATTTAAAGCAATATCTAGTGGAAGACAAATTTTCTACATTAAATATTTAGTCTGGGAAAATTTAAGGAACCACAAGGAAAAGAATAATTTCACAAGTGTAACAATTACACGAGTACATTTTTGGCATGGTGGAGGAAGTAATCTTCACCGAGTGTGAAAAGGACCCAAACCAACCTAACCTAATCAACCTAACTTAACCTACGTGCAATGCCATCATATATATAGTGTGTTGTCAATGTGTACTAGTCATGTGACTTTTTTTTCCTGTAACTTTATTTCCGTTCACTATTTTCATAAGTGGAGCATATATTTTAAGTGTAAATTCCCTACAAATGTAAAGGGATTTTGTGGATTGTACATATAATGTGTGTTTGCAAACATAAAAGTGTTTTATTTTATGAGACTGGGGTTTTGTCCACTTTTCATATAATGGGTTGGGGTTTTGTCCATTGGGGTTTTGTCCACTGGGGTTTTGTCCGTTGGGGTTTTGTCCGTATACCGTTTGGTACCTGCCTACTACTACTACTACTAATAATAATAATTAACGATTTATTGAAAAAGTTCTGCAGCCCGAAGGCTGAAAATATACATTGGACATAAATTACTTATTACATACATTGGTGGTTTAACAAAAACCTTCATTAGAGAAAGGTAAAGGAACATACAGTGAACATACAGATTAATGTAGGTGATGAACAGCAAACACGTAGTGTAGTAACTCCCTCCCAGATGGTGTTATGCGGGGCCTCACGTGGTGTAGTAATTCCCTCACAGATGGTGTTATGAGGGGCCTCACGTGGTGTAGTAATTCCCTCACAGATGGTGTTATGGGGCCTCCGTGGTGTAGTAATTCCCTCACAGATGGTGTTATGCGGGGCCTCACGTGGTGTAGTAATTCCCTCACAGATGGTGTTATGCGGGGCGTCACGTGGTGTAGTAATTCCCTCACAGATGGTGTTATGAGGGGCCTCACGTGGTGTAGTAATTCCCTCACAGATGGTGTTATGAGGGGCCTCACGTGGTGTAGTAATTCCCTCACAGATGGTGTTATATGAGTGAGGTTTGGTCTTAAGCCTTCCTATCGTAGACGGATTAACGCATCGTTGGTTATCACGGGCCGTTATCACTGGGCACCTGGGACCTCACTGTGTGAAGTTCTCAGTAATAATGAAAATCTAGTAAAAGATGTTGGGATTGGAGACGAACTAGGAAACAGTGATCATAAAGCCATATATTTTAACATAATATGGAATGGCAGGAAGAAGGAAAATTCGGCCTTGATCCCGGATTTTAGGAAGGCTAATTACGGTAGCTTAAGGAGAGACCTAAGGGATGACCCTATGGTCAAAAGACTAATCCCCCCCACACCTCCGGAAACTGTCAACTTAGGACGGGAGAACCCCGAATTTAATTTAGCAGCTACTTATGAACAATTTATTGCGACAAGCCATAATGCTCAAAATAAACACATTCCTAAAAGAAAATTCAGATCGATACGGAACCAACCAAAGTGGATGAATAATAGACTCTAAGATCTTCTAGGGAAAAAGAAAGGAGTACCGGTATATAGAAAAGTTAAGAAAGGCGAAAATCACTTACTTGGTTACTATCAGAACCTAACAAGACAAGTAAAAACAGAAATTAGGAAAGCAAAGAGAAATTATGAAATCAAGGTAGCAAACGAATCGAAAAATAACCCCAAAGCTTTTTATCAACTGTATAAATCAAAGGTTAGAGATACAATAGGTCCCCTTAAAACTACGACAGGAGAAATGACTGATGATGAGTTAGAAATGTGTAGTACGTTAAATAGTCATTTTCGCTCCGTATTCACAAATGAAAACCTAGCACAGTTTCCAGAAGTTAATAAGGTATATAACGACAGTATAGAAAATATGTTGATGAATATCAATATTACTAGTAACGATGTGCTTAAAGTAATTAACAAACTGAAGCCTCATAAATCGCCTGGTCCAGACGAGGTATATGCTAGAATATTAAAAGAATGTAGAGATGAGTTGAGTAATCCATTAGCAGTTTTATTTAATAAGTCATTAGAATCGGGCCTAGTGCCAGAAGCTTGGAAACTTGCAAATGTAGTTCCGATTTTCAAAAAAGGTGATAAATCAATTGCATCAAATTACCATCCCATTAGTCTCACGTCAATCATAGGCAAGTTGCTAGAGTCAATTATTGCTACAAAAATCAGAAGCCACCTTGAAACATTCAACTTAATTCATTCTTCTCAGCACGGGTTCACCCAGGGACGTTCTTGTCTCACAAATTTGCTTAGCTTTTTCTCAGAAGTACAGTATATGAAGCGGTAGATAATGATAAGTCATATGATATAATTTATTTAGATTTCAGTAAAGCATTCGATAGAGTCCCTCATGAGAAATTGATAAGGAAGGTAGAAGCACATGGAATAGGTGGATCATTATTAAAATGGATTAGGTCATGGTTAACTGGTAGGAAACAAAGAGTCAGCATAAATGGATTTAAGTCAGACTGGGGTGCGGTCAAAAGCGGAGTTTCCCAGGGATCTGTATTAGGCCCTCTGCTGTTTGTTATATTCATTAATGATCTTGATTTAGGTATAACTAGTAGGATTAGTAAATTTGCAGATGATACCAAAATGGGGACAGTGATAAATTCAGACAGTGACTTTGAACACCTTCAAAGAGATCTAGATACCTTACATGAGTGGTCAGTAGACTGGCAAATGAATTTTAATACTGATAAATGCAAGGTACTACAGATAGGGAAGACGAATACAAACGTTAAGTATAAACTAGGTAACACGGAAATAGAAAACTCAGATTGTGAAAAAGATCTAGGTGTATTTGTTAGCAACGACTTGAAACCTAGAAAACAATGTATTAGCGTTCGCAACAAGGCAAACAGGATTCTTGGGTTCATATCTAGGAGTGTGAGTAACAGAACTGCTGACGTTATCTTGAAACTTTACCTAGCATTAGTGAGGCCACACATGGATTATGCGGTTCAATTCTGGTGTCCTTATTATAGAATGGACATAGATTCTTTGGAGAGAGTACAAAGAAGAATGACAAAAATGATCCATAATATTAGAAACCTTCCATATGAAGAAAGACTGAAAAGCTTAGGCTTGCATTCATTAGAGAGGCGTAGAGTTAGGGGAGATATGATAGAGGTGTTCAAGTGGGTAAGTGGGATTAACAAGGGTAAAATGGAAGATGTTCTGAAGCTCAGTAATAACGAAATAACTAGAACAAATGGCTTTAAATTAGATAAATTCCGATTCAGAAAGGATATAGGCAAGCACTGGTTTGGTAATAGAGTTGTGGATATGTGGAATAGGCTACCGAGTGCTATAGTAGGATCGGGGACGCTAGGGAGCTTCAAGACGAAGTTGGATAGGCACATGGAAGTGCTGGGATGGGTGTGAAAGGGATCTGCCCTGTATGGGCCAGTCGGCCTCCTGCAGTATCCCATGTTCTTATGTTCTTATGTAACTTGGGTACGACTGTTACTGTTGAGTTGTTCTCACTGACTTAAGCACTGTTCACCACTGTTTAACACTGGTTCCATTCCTTTCCTAAATGAAATAGTAACTTCTGGCGTGAACTTGTTGATATTCCGGTGGGGAGGAGGGTTCAGGGGAGGGGATTGGTATGGGCCAACTTAACAGTTGACCTGGCTGCTCCGAGAGGAGCGCCAGGTACGTCTTGACCCTTCGGTGGTCAAGGATGTACAGTTTAAGTGATACCCGTTCATTTTCTTGTTTTACTAGATTAGGTTAGATTTGGTTTATTCTGATTGTCAATTTCAATAATGTTTTGGAAAATTTCCCATTAAAAGCATCCATATATAAGACGTACCCATCTCCTTGAACTTTACCCAATTGTAGTGATTTTTTTTAATTTATCATTTCACCTACATATTAGTGTTATATGTACCTGCCGTTGGTCCTCGCTGAGTCCAAACACAACATCGTCAATGGGGTAATAAGATCCATGATTGCGGATCTGTGAGGCTGTTACACTCCTCAGTCCTGGGCAACCACGGAGGAAATTACTAAACTGCCGACAAACAGCTGACGCCATGGTATCAACAGACGACCTTCTTGCTTGAATGGTGGTAGATTATTCCTGGACTCCACATGATGTTACGATAATTACGTCATCAAAACAACTATATTGCTCAAATTTTCCTAAGCTTCAGCTGGAGAAACTGAGGTTATAAAAGCAGTAGAGAACTTAATGTTAAAACTTTACCACAACCAACGCGACTGTTCTATTTTTTTCCAATTACACATATTAACTAAACCTATAATGTAACTTTACAAACACTATCCCTAGTCGTCTGCTTTAAAATATATAAATAAATAATAGGTTTGCATCATACAGTAGCTATGATGTCATCGAAATGCAATTGCTTCTGCAATGATATGCCCTGGGATATTCTCATTTCTCTGTCTATATAAACTATTAATAGTAATTTAATGATATATTACAAACTGATATTTATAACATTCATAATAACTAGAAGAACTAAAGTCGTCGTTCAACTTTGATTTCATACGGGGGGAAAAACATCATCAACCAGTCTTTGATATTAACGCCAACAGTACCCTGAAAGTGTCGGGTGGTGGCAAGAGTAAGGGGAACAAGATCACAGTCTCTAACAACATTAGGGATATCTTGATAGAGAGGAACTCGATACATAGTACAGAGCATAATTATGTAGTATAAAAAAAGTCTCATTTCATCTAAGATGGCAGTGTGAACGTTGAGTATGATTCCTCCCGTACTTAGAAAAAAATCAGCCGATAACATCAAAATAATTATTATACCCCAAAGAACTGCCGATTGTACTTAAATAAGTTCTTTCAGGTTTACTTCCGTTTGTAGGCTGCTCTACAGGTTGTATATTATGTTGTGGTTGGTGACTCGGGGTACAGAAACTCCCCAGCAGACCTACGGTAGTTGTGTAATGAATTGTGGATTTAACATTACTCTGGTTTCCTCCTGGACACTGATCGCCCGAACGGAAGCTGATTGCCGGTTGAAATGATAAATTGAATAAATTATACTGAATTAAATCAGATCTGCTTCCAGAGTGTACTGTACACCTGGCATTATCTTCATCCCTGACAAACGATATAGAATCATCGAATTATATATTTATTTTGTGATTTTCTGTCCTATTTTTAAGTAGCTTTTGGCATATACCTCTACAATCACTGCTCTGGCCAACTACATATAACAGTAAAATGCCGTCGTCCTACACCCTGCTGCCATAATGCATTACAAAAATTGTGACCAAGTCCCAGGCTGCTGATTTTCTGTCTTATTTACAGTTTTACACACATTTGCAGTGTTTCAATTGTTTCTCTTACTTTGACAACACAACTTACTGATATTGTTTCTCGCTATTGATTTTTTTATTCCTTATTTATTTATGATCCTTTATAAAATTATTATTATTATTATTATTATTATTATTATTATTATTAGTAGTAGTAGTAGTAGTAGTAGTAGTAGTAGTAGTAGTAGTAGTAGTAGCATGAGGCATGACGAGGTAAGGGATCTCACAGCAAATATGTTGAAGGAAATCTGCCGGGACGTCATGGTAGAACCGACCCTCCTTCCACTGGATGGCGAGATCCTCCAACACAGGACCTCAAACACATCTAACGAAGCCCGTGTGGACGTCAGTGCTCGAGGATTCTGGACGCGGGGACAGCGAGCTTTCTTCGACATCAGGATTTTTGATCCCATGGCCGTTTGTCACCGTAACCTAGCTCTCGATGCTGCGCATAGGAGGAACGAGAACGACAAGAGAAGGGCATATGGGGAGAGAATTCAAAATGTTGATCAAGGCAGCTTCACTCCTCTAGTGTTCACAACCTCTGGTGGGATGGGCCCAAGTGCAAGATGTTTCTACGCCAGACTCGCGGAGCTGATCTCCGAACAGAAGCAGCAGCCCAGAAGTTATGTCACAGCCTGGATGAGATGTCGACTGTCCTTCTCTCTCCTTCGGTCGGCTTTGCTCTGCCTCAGGGGAACGAGAGCTTCTGCCCCTACTCCGACAACTGCTGCAAATATTGACTATGAGGCTACAGTCACTGAATGCCGCATGGATCTGCGGCTCAACTAATCTAACACAGATAGGATAGCTTCTTATGTATTAGGATATTTAATATTAAGGTAAATAAATGGTGGCGAAGGTGTGGCTATTGGGGGAGGCTGGAGGCCACGTTAAAAAAAAAAAAAAAAAAAAAGTAGTAGTAGCAGTAGTAGTAGTAGTAGTAGTAGCCACCATACAGTCAACTGAGGGAACAACGCAGGGGGTCCCTGTCGCCATGGCAATGTACGCACTAGGCCTGTCTGTGCTCCAACATACAATAAAATATGAAACAACCGAGGTCAAGCAAGTGGCGTACGCTGATTCCCTAACGGGAGCAGGAAAAGTGGAGGACATCAAAAAGTGGTGGGACCTGGTAACATCACGAGGTCCACAAATAGGGTACCATCCAAACGCCAGCAAGTCCTTCCTCATTGTGAAGCCAGAACACTATGAAAGGGCAATGGAGGTGTTCGGTGGAAGTGAGGTCAAAATAACAAAAGATAGCCAAAGACATCTAGGTGCGGTAATTGGCACGAATGACTTCAAGACCAAGTACGTAACGGGAAAGGTGAATGAGTGGGTGAAGGAAAGCCAAGCTCTGTCTGATATTGCTAAAACAGAGCCACATGCGGCTTTTGCGGCATTCACCCGTGGAGTCAAGCATCACTGGAGATACCTGATGCGCACTATCCCTGATATTGGACCCCTCTTCCGCCCTCTGGAAGAAGCTACCAATGTCGCTTTTATCCCAACACTAGTGAAAAACCCTTACTTAACGCCCAGCATAAAGGTCACTCCTTGCACTACCACCGAGACAAGGAGGAATGGGATTGACTAATCCAGTGGAACTTGCCGCTACAGAACATCAGAACTCTGTCAAGCTCACGACAGCTCTCACCGAGCACATAATAGATCTGAACGCAGCAAGTCAGGTGGATGCCAACGAATTAAACAAGATTCGACGGTCCATTATGGCAGAGCGGCAGCACACCCAAAGTGATAAACTGCAACAACTGTTGCAACAAGTACCAGGGAACGTGAAAAGAAAAGTAGCTATAGCGCAGGAGGTGGGCGCCTCAAACTGATTAACAACGTTACCGATAAGGGCAAAAGGTTTCATCCTTAATAAACAAGAATTTACAGATGCCATTGCTCTAAGGTACGGTAGGCGTGTGCGGCTCATCTTATGACATCGACCACGCCATGGTGTGCAAGAAGGGGGGCTTCGTATGCATGAGGCATGACGAAGTAAGGGATCTAACAGCAAATCTACTGAGGGAAGTCTGCCACGACGTCATGGCGGAATCGCCCCTCCTTCCATTGGACGGTGAGAACCTCTGTCACAGGACTTCAAACGCATCCAACGAAGCCCGTGTGGACGTCAGTGGTCGAGGATTCTGGACGCGGGGACATAAAGAGTTTTGATCCCATGGCCGCATGTCACCGCAACCTAGCTCTCAATGCTGCACACAGGAGGAACGAGAATGACAAGATTAGGGCATATGGGGAGAGAATTCAGAACGTTGATCAAGGCAGCTTCACTCCTCCGGTGTTCACAACATCTGGCTGGATGGGACCAAGTACAAGATGCTTCTACGCCAGACTCGCGGAGGTGTTATCTGATCGGAAGCAGCAGCCCAGAAGTTATGTTAAAGCCGTGTTGTTCCCCTTTGCCTGGAATTTCATCTTGTGTACTGACTCATATGTGTTCTGACTCACGTTTGCTGACTCATGTGTGCTGACTAATGTGTGCTGACTTACCTGTATGTGTGTTGACTTGCCTGTTTACTGACTCATATATATATATATATATATATATATATATATATATATATATATATATATATATATATATATATATATATATATATATATATATACGTAATGAGAGGAACTCACAAGAAGAAGATTACATTTAGGTAGAATATTGATAGTAAGAGAAATGTAAAGCGAGGAAGACTTTGGTAGCGTGGCCGTGATAGTTATTTGAACTGGACTTACACTTATCTTATCTTATATGTCAATACACATCTATTACGTTCTTAAGGACGACTTCTCAAACACCGCTTCGTTACAACTCTTTATTAATTACGAACATGACATGGACACATTAATAACACCTTCTATTGAAGTTACTAGGACATTATATTTACGTTACTAGGACATCATATTACGTTACTAGACACTCTGAAATTTCTCGGACACGAACATGAAATGAATACACTTCCCACGTAAGTAACTCATCCCGTGGAAAGCTCTGACAAAAACTCACGTGACCTAGGGGAGGCCTAGCAGGTGGTCCTGGGTTGTCTCTATGGGAGACTGCTTAGCTGGGCACGGGTGTGTCGAGGGCAACTCGCTCCCGACCGGAGGCGACCGGAGGCGGCTTGCCTCCGGCCCCTGACTTCTCTCGAGCAGGACTGGGGACGTCATAGCTGGCCCTTCCTTGTTACAAGACACACTCTCTCTCTCTCTCTCTCTGACTCCCTCTAGCCGCTCCCCTGAGGGAGGGCTACGAGCGGGACTGAAGACGTGGTAGCTGGCCCTTCCTCGTTACAAGACACACTCTCTCTCTCTCGAGAGAGAGAGAGAGAGGGAGGGTTACGACGTCCTATATATTGGGAGACCAGCCGTCAGGTTGAGCTGATCGGGGGGGCGGCGAAGGGTCTCCTTACATTTGCCCTCGCTAATGTAGGGTCAGGTCTGGACTTTTTCAGAGACTTCAAGTTGTTGTAAATTCTGGAGAAATCTTCAGATGAATGCTTGTCTGTTAACATCGTTGGTGGGGCCGTGTGACGTGAGAGGCCCTGGTTGATTTGTGACCCCTTGACTTGGGCTCGAGGGTTACATTTTACGTGGTTAATGTGAGGATAGGTCTGGGCCTTGTCTGAGATGTACTGTAGTTGTGTATATTGGGAGAGGGTCGGCAGGTGGTTTCTTACATCTTTGTTGGGGTGGGGTGACATGGGAAGGGGAGCTAGTTGATTTGTAATTCCTTGAGTGGTTACCCTTACACTTGACCCCCCTAATGTCGGGTCAGGTCTGGACTGTTTCTGAGTCACCTGTATACTGATTCATATGTATACTGTTCGTGACTCATAAAATATGTATACAGTACTCGTTCTATCACAGTTGTGTATGTATCTCCAACACAGCAGTATACATGTACAGTCCCCTTTCACTAGCGCGTTTACAGGGCCTCGTCATATACACATTCCACAAATCACCCCATTGAGATATTTGTTTTAATATTGCTTTACCTTAAATCCATAGCAGGTTTATTATTGAGAGTTTCTTTCTGTCGAATATAAAAAAACACAGGGCTGCCACACTGCACAAAACCTAACAAGCCCCTGTAAACGCACTTGTGAAGGGAACTGTACTATTCAATAACCCTCGCACACAACAGGACCAGATAATATGCAAACGTGTGGTTGTGACAGCTTAACGGGATCCCGGTACTATTTCTCATCACGGGACCTCCATAACTATTGCTTCCCTTAAGTATATATATATATATATATATATATATATATATATATATATATATATATATATATATATATATATATATATATATATATATATATATATGTGTTACCACAAAATTAATAAACTACAAGTACTCAACAAGATGTTTCAACAAAATTTCCTGCCATTGAAAATATATAAAATATATCAACAAGTAATTTAAATAACACCAACAAAGTGAAGATACAACAATTAAGTTACAATAATGACTGGAATATTAGACTGAACAAGTAAGAGTCAGGCAGGGGGTTGGGGGGGGGAGTGTTGGTTACCTCGCAATCATGGCGTGGGGTGACGTCACTATCCACAAAGTATCGTTTACACTGAGTAATCATAACGAAGGAGATTGACGTCGACGCTCACAGATAATTGGATAGTGAAAGATAAACAAATGTAAACAGGTGAATGATAATGATTTTGAAGGATATGACAGAAATGTATTAAGAGGACGTTTCTGATTAAGGTGAAGAGTGAAGACAGTCTCGATGTAAAGCTTGAGGAAACTTTTGCCGTTTATTAAGCATGGCAGTTAGTTGTCTTGTTTCATCTCCCCTTACGTGGAGGATTAATTAATTATAACGTCACGAAAATAGTACACTGTAATTAGGTGTTTATAAAGATCGTCACGAAAAAATGTACTGTGATTGTGCGATTACGGGGATAATACGTCACCATCTTAAGGTGTAGGCTATGACGTCATGAAAATACTCCACAGTGATTGGGCGTGATGAGAATGCCTCGCCTGGCAAGTTCCTAGACACTGTATATGCCAACTTATCTGAGTTGTGCTCTTGTTGTTATTAACGTGTAATACAGTATACTCCTATCACTGTATGTTAGTGTAAATTTTAGTGATATTTTCGTATTAGTATCTAAATGTAAATATTCGTCTGAGTGATTTAGGTGTCATACAAAGTGTAGCGTATACTGTATTAGGTACGAACGCTGTATAAGGAAAGTTTACATCTGTTCCTACAACTAAATACGACAGGAAGTTCGTTGTGTGCCTATCTGTAGGGCTTGGAGATCTCTTGTTAAAAGTGGACATCAACTGCAATGTGGCAAAATTGGAATACTAAGTATATTGTCAAATTAGGTATCATATTACTAGGGACAGTGGTATTTGTCGTGGTCAGTTTGTACAGTCATGAGGCGGTCAGATCAGACAGTGACCCCACGCCCGCTGTATCGATGGAAACAGTGTCAAGACCTACATGTCACGCCCTTTTCACCATCTCCGACGTACCTCTGCACACTCCTGAGTTCCAACAGTATTTCGGAGGCAATGTAACAAACAGCGAGAGTCCTGGAGGAGAGAGGAGCAAGTTACCAGGAAGTCACGTCACCCGGATAGAGGAGACCGTATTAAGGGTGCGACTCCTCCTGAAGAAGAGGTCCTCTTCATCTGGAGCTACCACGGAGGATTACCGCAAGCTGGCCGAGCTTCTGCCCTCCCTCCTGTCTTTCTCAGAGGACCACGCCGCCAGGGAAGAGGAGGCAGGAGCTAATAGGATCCCCAAATTAGTCAGCACGAGCAGGATTACAGCTACCGGAGGTGTTCTGCCCTACGTCCCTTGTGCCATAGCATCCTACCACGACCCTGCCTCCATCACCACCTGCTTCAGGAAGAGACTCTCAATCAGTGACTCGCTCTGGCTCTTCTTCCTGGGAGACTCGAAGATCAGGAACATCTTTTACGAGTTTCTGCGGCGGACTGACCAAGACTATTACTACCAGCTCAAGTTACCAGTAAGCAGCCTAGTGTAGTGTGATCATTAATGTTTGTTTACGTATTTGAATTACTTATAAAGTTAACCTGTCCAACTTTTATCAGCTTACTAGTAGGGTGAGCAGTCGGTCAGTTCTCTGTTGCACTTCTGTTGGCCGGTACTGACGGGGTATAGATTTTTTTTAATGTATCTGAACATGTACAGGTGTAGTGTAGTCTAGATACACAACACCTCACACTCGGTACTATCACATCACTTACTGACAGAGAACAGGAGGTCAGTGATGACCACAGTACTGACAATGATGTCATGCACTAACACGGAACCCTGTTAGGTGTGAAGTTCGTGGTCCACTCACGGTAGTACTACCCCTTGTGTTACACCCACAGTTGAAGAGTTGGATTTAAAGCTCAAGACTAGCGCACAGAATGAACATACTGTACATATCAAACATAAAATAAGACTTCGTCCCTAAATTGTCATCCAGTAATAATAATAATAATAAACAGCAAGAAAATGGAAACATACAAGAATTAAGCTGGGATTACATTCAAGCGTTTGCAGTGTGTTTCAGTTTTCAATCGCTACAGGGAGCGATTGGCATGTTCAGTACTACAAACGCTTACAGCTAGGATTCCATTCACGCGTTAGCGGTTGCGTTAGCGTTAACGCCACAAATAGATCACATTGAAATGTACATGGTTATTTCCATTGGCACGGTTGCGTTAGCGTTATGCGTTTGCAGTACATGCCAATCACTCCCTGTAACAATTGAAAACGCAAACACACTGCAAACTCGTGAATGGAATCCCAGATTTAGTCTACATTCTACAGTATTGCACAAATAAACGTATTATGTAAATCAGTACAATTATCAACTCTACCACAAACTAACCCCCAAATAAAAAATACCCGAATATCTATAAATCCACCTGAACATACAGTATACATTTTTGCTTTTGTTTTTTGTCCTGCAGAACGGCACGGAACCATTAAGGGAACTGCTTAAGACTCCCACCAAAATCCACGACGACATAGAAGCGACCACAAGCCTGTTCCCACGTCTCCGGATCACATTCAAGTTAGGGAGATTATTATTATTATTATTATTATTATTATTATTATTATTATTATTATTATTATTATTATTATTATTATTCTCAACTTTCTATAAATTTATCCCATAAATTTTGACCAGCTACATTTACATACGGTTTTCATATGATATTTACTGAATTAATATCTAGGTGACTTATTTGATTTATACTTAATACAGGATTAAATCTACAAATTCGACACGTTTCTTTTTTTCCGATTTTCGATGTTTTTCCGTTTTCTTTCTTATCTTATTTTCATTAATCTTTATATCCAGGGAGGCTCTACAAGACGAGAATTGTCTATGTGTTTGTTATACCTCCTCCAATGCAGATCCTTGAACATTTTTTTTTTCACTTTTCTGGTCATTTGAAGATTAGGCCCCCAGCTTATTTCACCCTAACGCAACTACTACTATTACAGGTACAGGAAGTTCAATGATATCGTACCATCAATGATCAGGAAGTCGAACGAGGTGAAGTTGCTGACCAGCTGGGCTACAGGGAAGGCCACGCCCCCTCACTTGCTGCTAATAGGTGACCCAGACCCGCATCTTAACCTGTAAATTAGGAGAGAGAGAGTGTAGTAGTTGTGATTTTGCAGTTTTATTATAAACAAAGAGTGATGTTAGTATGTTGTGTTTGCAAACAATGGACCACCAGGTGTTCCAATGTGTAATGATGTAAAAATTTATAGTATGTTAGAGAACATTGATCAAAGTAATTTTTTATTATTGAAACAAGCACGAGTACACATAAGAGAAAATGAATGTATAAAATATAACAGCTGGGAAAATACCATGCATGTCATTTCTAATTGCACCTACACTTACATTAAGTTTCAGTATTAACTTCCTCGGTTCAATGGCCTATCACTAAGCTCCTACTTTTAGCGACCTTCGCAACCATCACAAATAATGGAAGCTGGTTGGCTGCAACCAGTAACTAATCAACTTCAATTAATTGTGACAGTTGCTAAGAATATATACAGGTAGTAGGCAGCTACCAACAGGGAGGTACTACCGCCTGGGAAGATATTGGAAGCATAATGTGTTGTCTAATGATAGACCCTGCTGCCATATGGCATCACAAAAATTGTGACCAAGTCCCAGGTCGCTGATCTAGTTTTCTGCCTCATTTACACACATTTGCAGGGTCTCAATTGTTTTTCTTGCTTTGACAACACAACATACATATATCGTTTCTCTTTATGATTGTTTTAATTTTTGCATTTATTTATGGTTCTTTATTACTATTCATTATTATTATTATTATTATTATTATTATTATTATTATTATTATTATTATTATTATTATTATTATTATTATTATTATTATTATATTTTCGCCCCCCAGGCCCCGATGTGGGTCAGTGACCTATGTGCTCGGGTGGGCTAATGCCCATAAAAAAATGGAAGGAGCATAGATGATACACAACTTTATGAAACACGTCACACCATTCTTCTCGATTTCATCAAGTGTCTGTATATATGTCTTATTAGTTATAGAACCACATTTCCCCCTCCCTAGGATACACCCCGTGGATGATGCAGAGGATGAGGACACAGTATCCACATGACCTGCTTGGTGACCTGATGGAGGTACACCGAATCGTAATGCCGCTCCTCTACCAGGTGAGTTAACCCTTTAGCCCTGTTCCTCCTATTCTTAACCCTGGCTCTCCCATTCCTAGCCATGATCTTCCTATTCCTAACCAAGATCCTAGGATAGTAGGTAAGGGAATAGTAGAAATAGTTGCATATTGACAGGCAGTAGTTTAAATGCAGTTGACAGTAGATCAATATAGTAAAGATAAAAAATAATAGTAGATATCGACCAAATTATTGTACAAAAAACTTAGGTTACCATGAAGGTGGTAAACCTTAAGGTGAAATAAGCAAGGAGGGCTAATCTTCACGTCATTTGAAAATAGATATTGATGCGGAAATTTATACAGACAGCTAGCCAGACATACAGACAGGCAGAGAGAGAACCTTAGACGAATGTTGAAATTGTGATTGGTTTTTCAGATTAGCCAGAGAACGCGGCTGTTAGTAGTGCCTCAGAGCCGCTACCGCCCTCACGCACAGCAAGGTCTCCTGGACACCATGGCCCTAGCGAACGGCGACCCCGTCAACGACTGGAGTGAGATGATGTTTCTCCAGTACTATCGACTACATCACCGTGACACCAGGGACGACCACCACGACACCACGGACGACTACCAAGACACCACGGACGACCACCACGACAATAGGGACGATCACCACATCCACGATCACGTTTTCGACTATACAAGTGGCTACAACCACACACAAAACGATGTAAAGAACCGCACCTACGATGACCACAGCAGAGTCTACCTGAGAGATGACACCAAGGGCGACCACCACGACACCAGGGGCGACCACATCCGTGACATCTACGATAACCACCTCCCTCGGAACACACCACCGCCTTCCTTATCAAGACCTGTACCTAACCGGAACAACAAGACCGCACAACTACCTCTATTGAGATCCGGGAACAATGTGGTACCTTCTGGAGTCAAGGGAGATCATCTGGCAATTTATAGGACCAAGAGGGACCATCTAGTATTAGCTGGAACTCATGAAGAACCGTGGTGGTGGGATACAAGTCTGCCGCTAAACTTGGCTGCGGTGAAGGATTGCGAGACACTGTACAGGCGTGGGCTGGAGGACGTGGACGTGTATAAGGGCGAGCACCTCCTGTGTAAAGACCAAGTCCATGCAGCCCGCGCCACCCTCGGGGACATGGCCACTATGATGTACAATCTACTGTGCAACTCCGTTCTAGGAGCGCACTCCAGCTTCTGTTGTCATTGAAATACAATTTACAGTTTGCAACACCTTGACAGCCAAGAACTAGGTTTTCAAATTGTTCGTACAATGGATTTTCCTCCTAATTTAAGATGCAGGAACGTATTTATCAGGTTGATAACCCAAATAACATCCATTTATACATATAACTTACACCTGGAGTCCTGTATTCTTCTTTAACTAGATACGTTCACCAGCACCGAACACAAACTTAACGCGCAGAATCTTTGTGAATCCAGACCCACAGCGTTGTACATCACGGAACGGTCAAGTCAGTCAGGTCAGATGGGATTTCATGCTTCAAATGATTTTATGTGGTAGTTGTGGCAGAGTAAATTGTTACTGAGAAATGCAACTCTGAATTCGACTTTATTTTTTTGTCCAGATCCTCATTCATTTACTGGACAGAGAAAGTGGGTCCCATTGGCATGACTGCCCGTTAGGGACAATGTGGATACAGCACATCACTGTATACTAAGCCTTCGGTACACAAGGAGGCAGCATGGCCGGTACTGCACTCAACCACACTCACCTCCCCAAGTTGCAAACTTAGGTACCCATTTACAGCTGGGTGAACTGGAGTGCCCAGGATCGAACCACCGACCCATGGAACAGGCTTGCTCTGTATCCACTCGACCGCCTCACTCCAATTATTTTACGGAAATCAGAGTTGAATCGGAGCGGGTTAGTAGCGGGATCACGGCTCTACAGTACATCCTATGTGTAGTTTTGTGAACAAGCTACAGCTGTGTGTTTTAGAGTTTTTATCTTAATAATTAACATTGAGTGGCTATCATTAATTTACTTTATACTGTACTCGGCGCGGCAGAAAACGGCAGCAATTTTTAATAGTTGTTAAAGCAAAGGAATACACTCTAACAATAACAGCGGTAGTTTATGTTATATCTTCGTCATCTCATCTCCACCAGAGTACAACGTTTCAAGATGAATATAAATAAGCAGCTAATTCACCATTGACTACGTTCAGCTGCCAAGCAACATCCTTCAGGCTCGAAAAACATCCATCGATCAAGTCAGTATTAAAAGCTACCCAAAGTTTCTTGAACACTGATACACGGAAAAGTATTACCGGTAAATGTCGGTAGTCAGAATACGACGACACTAATGAACGTTTAAACTGCTAGGGGAACATATGAGCACGGGGGTGGAGGAGACTGCAGTGGGAGTAGGTAAACAAAGTGAAAGGTTACAGGGAAATAGTGTTAGGAATTATGAAAAAACTAAATTAGACAGGGAGTTTAAACCTAAACGCGTCTAACTTAAATGTCTACTACGCTAACAGTAGAAGTATGTGAAACAAAATCAGGGCGTTGCTATATACCGAAAAAAATCGATATAATAGCATTTACCGAAACATGGATGAACCGAGACTCACGTGAGTTACCTGTCGAATACCAAATTGCAGGTTACAAATTAGAAAATGAAGCGGAATAGCAATCTATGTCATGGATAATCTGAAGTGTGAAATAAATGAGTAAATAAAAACTGAGCGGAATACAGAAACAATTTGGATATAATTAATCGACGGTAGGGAAAAATTAATCACAGGAGTAATATATAGACCTCCTAATCTTGATAGAGTCAATGAGCGACTTATCTGGGATGAAATGCGCAGGGCGTCCATACACAACAAAGTCTGTATAGTAGGCGACTTTAACCTTGGCCAAATAGACTGGACTGACCTTACAGGTAACTCAGAATCAGAGGATTTTCTCGAGACGATCCAGGACTGTTTTCTAAGTCAACATATAACCGAACCCACCAGGGGTAATAATATACTCGATTTAGTTCTGTCAAACAGAGAAAACCTCATTAGCAATGTCGAGGTAGGGAACGAACTTGCAAACAGAGATCACAAAGAAATTAGATTCCAGTTAGATTTTCAGGGCATAAGTAAGGAAAATTCCACTAAAGTACCAGATTTCAGAAGGGCAAATTTTTACAGTTTAAAGAGGCAGCTGAGAGAGGGGGCGTCGCGCTTGGCAGTGAACCTAACAGATGACACGGACCTGATAACGAGATCTGAGATTGCCGAGTTCCACGACAATTTAAATAGTGAGTTACTTAATGCACAAAGGCAGAACATACCATACAAAAAACTCAGATCAGACAACAATGACCCTAAATGGATAAATAATTATTAAAAGAATGTCATTGGCCAAAGGAAGGCTATAGATAGAAGGATAAATCGTGGCGAAATTCACCTCCGGGATTACTATAGGGTATTGGCGAGTAGGGTTAAAACCGAGATAAGGAAAGCCAAGAGGAATAATGAGGTAAGGATAGCAAGGGAGGCGAAGACAAACCCCAAAGGATTCTACCAAATGTATCAAACTAAAATACGAGAAAAGATTGGACCAATACGGTCAGACACCGGCGAGCTCACTGATAACGATAGAGAAATGAGCAATAATTTGAATAAATATTTTTCAACAGTTTTCACCACCAAAAATTTAAACATGATACCCGGGGCACCGACTTTATTCAGAGATAGTGAAGAAAACAAATTAAGCGAGACAGTAGTGACTAGTAACGATGTTAGTGAGCAAATAGACAAACTAAAGCCAAATAAGTCACCTGGTCCAGATGAGATATTTGCCAGAGTATTAAAGGAATGTAAGGAAGAGCTTAGTATGCCCTTAGCAAAGTTGTTTAACATGTCCTTAAAAACAGGTGTAGTACCAGAATCCTGGAGGATAGCGAATGTAATACCGATTTTCAAGAAGGGGGATAGATCACTATCCTCTAACTACCGCCCAATCAGTCTAACATCAATAGTAGGCATATTACTGGAAGCAATCATTTCAAACTCTATTCGAAATCACCTGGAGAAGCACAGATTGATCAATGATTCCCAGCATGGCTTCACAAGTGGACGTTCTTGTCTAACTAATCTATTAACATTCTTTGCATCAGTTTTCGAATAGGTGGACGAGGGGCACAATTATGATGTGGTATTTCTCGACTTTAGCAAAGCCTTTGACAGAGTCCCCCACGAAAGACTAATCAGAAAGGTAGAAGCACATGGCATCAAAGGTAATATCCTTAAATGGATTAGGGCGTGGTTACAGGACAGGAAACAGCAAGTGAGCATTAATGGCACTAAGTCCCATTGGAGCAACGTCACAAGTGGAGTTCCCCAAGGCTCAGTACTTGGACCATTATTATTTATTATATACATAAACGACATAGATATCGGCATAGACAGCAACATAATCAAATTTGCTGATGACACTAAAATAGGACGTGTTATTAAATCTGACGAGGACTCCACAAAACTACAGGAAGATCTAAACAAATTTTTCGAATGGTCTGAAAAATGGAAGATGAAATTCAACGTGGACAAATGTAAAGTACTCAGTATAGGAGATGTAAACAGGGAAACCAGATACCAGATGAACAACGATGCCATAGAGAAATCCGACTGCGAGAGAGATTTAGGAGTAATGATAAGTAGGAACCTTAAGTCAAGTAAACAATGTGTTTTTGGTCGTAACAAGGCTAATAAAGTACTTGGGTTCATACAAAGGAGTGTTAGTTACAAGACTAGCGAGGTCATCCTAAAACTGTATCTTGCTCTTGTGAGACCACACCTGGATTACGCAGTTCAGTTCTGGTCACCGTATTACAGAATGGATATAGAATCCTTGGAAAGAATTCAGAGGAGAATGACAAGACTAATCCCGGGCATTAGGAACCTTGAGTATAGAGACAGGTTAAAGCATCTTAATTTGCACTCCCTCGAGAGACGTAGAGCGAGGGGCGACCTGATAGAGGTGTATAAGTGGAAGGCAGGGCTAAACAAAGGGGACATTACAAAGGTACTCAAACTATCCAACCAGGAGCGAACTCGTAACAATGGTTTTAAATTAGACAAATTTAGATTTAGGCGTGAAATAGGTAAACACTGGTTTGGAAACAGAGTAGTGGATGAATGGAACAAGTTACCAAATATCATCATTAACTCGAATAAGCTGAATAGCTTCAAACATAGGTTGGATGCTTATATGAGCAATAGGGGTTGGGTGTAAACGGGACTGCCCAGTATGGGCCAATAGGCCCGCTGCAGTTTCCTCCATTCTTATGTTCTTAAGAACATAAGAACATCCTTAAGAACATCCTCTTTTCTGATAGTGATATTCTTTAATTTCTCTTCTTCCTTTCCCCTAAATATCAGTTCCACCTCTGGAATTCCCTCGTGAATTTTTTGTGAAAACTGATAAAAATTAGCCCTACTTAAAGTAAAGGGATGACCACAAGTCCAGCATTTACTTAAAGTACTGGGATTACCACGTGGTACAGTAGTCCAGCATTTACTTAAAGTATGGGAATGACCACGGGGTACAGTGGCCCAGCATTTACTTAAAGTACAGGGATGACCACGCGGTACAGTAGTCCAGCATTTCCTTAAGTACAAGAATGACCACGTGGTAGTTGCCCAGTAAGAGTACAGTAATTCTCGCTGATACAGTAATCCTGCAAATAGTCAATCTCGGGGCCTGGACAAAAGCCCCTAGGACAAAAGTCCCCTCAATCCCACATAGCACTGTATCACGACAGCAGCATTCAATATAGTACGGTTTAATAATTTCCACATGGTACACCACCTCACTGTCTGAGCCCTGTACCACGTGTTGACGTTCAGCTGTACCAAGCTTCGAGAAGGCGGGAAAACACGGGACCTGACGGCACGAGGCTTGGCCCTGGGAGCTAGGAGGAGCATGTCTGTCACGTGATAGCCATCGCCATGCCGGACTTATTCTATTTACTATATTATCAACAACGATTTAATTAAAACCTAATAATAATAATATATATCAAGCTAAAGTAAAGGTAACTACGGCCATCTTTATCTGAAGTGGGAAATACGTATTGTGGTGAATGAAAGTGCTAAAAAAATAGGACTGGCATCGTCACATGACGTAGTTTTCATATTTTTCCTAGGATGGTACCAGTTCGTCGCCATGGTAATGACTGGGGAAGATTTTATAAATATGTCCTGACCTAACCTTACTTATGGTAAGCAATTTCAACATAAAGTATCTGAATAATATTTGACTAAATTTCTTCACGAGCCAGAGGAGTCACGATTTCTAATTAATCATAAAAGTGTATTTAGGCAGAGAATATTTGTTAAATTGAAGGGATCTAAAGAACGTTTACCTCACAAGGAATAAAAATATCGATAGAAAGCAGTAAGGGGATTCTCAAATATACCAAGGTTCCTGACATTTCCTGTCATACTTTGGAAGTATATGATAACTGCTGACTCAGAAGGATATACTGTTCATAATATATGTAGGTACAGTATTTCACAATCTTTGGAACACTCCAGAACATTCAAGACAGGATTGGTGACGTGGAAAAGAATCCATGCCACACGTCGCTTGTAAGTTATCATTTTATATAATTTACTTACAACATGACTATTATTCTCATAATATATCTCATGAAGTACAGTAAGGTATACTA